TTTGTATAAAAGACAAATGAGATAGGGGCTACCAGGCACTGCCACACATTCCCACCGCTGTGAGAGGCCAGCACCCACACCTGCATTGTTTTCATTGTTGTTTCAAGCCCTAAACTGATGCTACTTCTGTCTGCGGAGGAGCGTCGACCGTTCCCTTCGCTCTTCTCGTACGAGGAGCAATCTTGACATGTCATCGCATCAGTTAATTTCACACTTCACTTGATACTTTGTGATGTAATGAGAAGCCATATTGCCAGAGTCTTGCGCAGTCAGCCCAATCATATTCAGCGAGAATATGAAGAGGGAGAGTATGTAAAAGAGAAGCTGGAATTACTGCAGGATTTCACCGTGTTATAATTTTTTTACTGCAGCAGGAGGAGGGTGAGGTAGATAAGGTGAGGGCACTTTGTGTGTTTGTGTGTGTGTGTGTGTGGATGAGAGTCTGTGAAGACAGAGACTGGTAGGGATGATCTGGAGAGAGGCCCAAACACCCAGAGAAATAGGGCTTTCCTTATCATGCAGTCACATGATTTTATGACTGAAAGGACAGCTCATCTTGTGGTGGCTCTGACTTTGAGGCAGGTCACGAATATGCTGCTTTTTTTTCCCAGCTCTATTCCACACCTGTATTACCTTTCATACATTTATGTATTGGCAATTTTCACCCTGGGAGGACGGAGTGAAAATCAGCCTCAGTGTACACATCATCCTCTCAGATAATCAGCTTTGCACCTTTTTGTGTTAACTGCAATAAAGTCTTGGAATACTTTGTTTTTCAGGGAATATTTCTCGATTCACGCCGAAATGTTTGCAGCCGTTTAGGACGCACTCAAACTCAAAGATTAAGGCAGGTCGAGGCAAACTGAGGTTAAATCCTCTCTCCTGGAGTTCAGAGTGTCTCGACTTTGGAGGAAATTTTTGTTTATTTGCAGTTGTATCACTCCAAATATACAAAGGCATAAACAGAAAGGAGACCGTCTGGAGGAAGTTTGGGAGAAAGTTTGTCCGGGCTGTCACACACAGAGCTGCTGCTTGTTGTCACAGCAAACATCAGCTGTGGCATCCGTCCAGTGGCTGTTTGTGGCCAAAAGACACAGGCTGAGAAAAAAACCACTTGGGTGATCAAAGAAAGCCAAAAGTTCACTTTGCTTTGTATTTAAATGCAGCTTTCTCATTATCTCAAACTGAGGGAAAACAGACTTTGAAAGTATCCCCACCAAAGCGCTCTGCTCCCTCGATGCACAGCCAGCTTCAAACACAACACTGCAGTCAACTTCATACACCGACGCATTATTTCAGACAACTTCACTCAAATGTGAGACTTACCAACTTTTGTTTCTGAGAGCACTGCTACTTTTGTTTTGTACGTAATATTAAAAGGTAAAGGGACAAATACTAAAATAATCCTGGAACCTATTTGACAACAGCAATACAGCCTCTGGGAGCCATGATTTGCAATGTTTAGGACTTTTTGGTGTGACCATAGACTGTATATACTATGGTCAACTTGGTTCAGCTTTCCACCAGTATACTGATTTAAAGTCGAAAATCTCTTGGTATTTCTGCGATTTTTCTCCACTTCCTGGAACCAACATTGCACAGTAGTGTTGTACGCACTTCATCACTTGTGCAGTAGCATTGTGCGCATATGGCGGGAGAGTTGCAGAGAGTCGCTGTGATGACGCTCGGCACATACAGCGTATCTCCTGGTTGAGCTACAAAATCCTTCTATGCCCATGGGCTGTACCAGGTGTCAATCACAGAAAACATGAACCCCCTAATAACTTTTGAAAATGGAACTGTACAGAAGAAAGAGGACTTGAGCACAAACCAGTCTTACAATAACTACATGTCAACATCACAACCAAGGGGGAGAAAATTTTATATTCTGTGTGATTAATTTCTAAAGTTTGTCCACAGCTCCATAAGAATTGCTGGAGGAGGCGGGATTTATGACCTATACTGCAGCCCATCACCAGAGGGTGCTGTTCTTGCAGTGCTTCACACAGCGAGGAGGTAGATGGCATCCATTCTATATGCAGTCTATGAGTGTGGCCGGCAGTTATTTAGAAACTCAATCAAACTTGAACACCGAAGCTTCCTCTTCTCTGCAATTTTGAGCCAAGTCCTATAAGAAATTAGAGTTTCATGACTACTTATTTTCACTAGTTAAGAAGAAGAACTTTATCAATCCCCGAAGGGAAATTCAATTGTCTGTTGTCTCACATATTATGTCTCCACAAGTTATCGACTATTTACACAAGCGTTATAAAGTCTGATGGCTGTTGGTACAAAAAGATCTTCTGAATCTGTCTGTCCTGCAGGGAAGAGAGAGGAGCCGTCCACCACCATTGGCCCTTTGGTCCATCAAGGTGTTGTGAAGTGGGTGATCCATGTTCTTTAGAATACTCTCCACCTTCCCCAGTGTAGATCTCTCCACCACATCCTCCACTGAGTCCAGCTTGAGTCCAACCACAGAGCCAGCCTTTTTCACCAGTTTGTTAAGACGTCTGGCATCTTTGTGTTTGATGCTTCCTCCCCAGTTGTCTCCTAGTTGCCTATTTTTTTTTAAATAGTTGACAAGTCACTATGAACGACAGATGCAGAAGGAGTGGTAGCTACTCGCGCATACTGAAAATTGTATTGCAATGCTAACATCTTAAATGTCACACCACTGAAAGTCACATTTATCCTCATTAAAAGACAATAATAGCGTTGCTTTCCTATACAAAACTCGCCTTCGGCTGCACATCAGAGCCAAGGACAGCCCCCTTCCCTGTGGTACTGACCACTCAACTAGCTGACAATTGCCCCTAGCACCGACCAGTGGTTTACGTGGCCATCTTGTTAAATAGTTGATTAGTTAATGAAGCCTGTCCTTTCCACTGTCTGATCACTTCAGAGGAGGAATTAAAAGCCCCAAAACTAAGCACAAAAAGATATCTTGATATGCTATGACAGGATTCCACCATGAATGAGCAGTCTACTGGTTTTGAGCTATTTGAGTCTGGTGAATCTCTCAGTATCTCTTTATTCCATTTAATTTTGTTTCTTGGGGCCATGGTTTGGTTGAAAATCGATTCTCATTTTAAAACTGAGACACATTTCTCTTGTTGATACACTGGGCTGCTTATTCCAGGATTTATTTCTGTGTGCTGGGATTGATAATTGTGTGACAGAGCGGGAAAATGTGAGGAAAAGGTTTATGCAGCTTCAATGTTTGATAAAGTTTTTCACTTGACTACAATCATGTAAATACATTGAGGTAAACAATGACAAAAGGACACTTTTTTTGTTTTATTATGCTAAACTTGTTTGTCTGTATTTACTGGGTACTTAATCTATTTTTATAATATTTAAACATCCTCACAAAATTGCTCAACAGAGCTCTGACTTGTTGTCAGGGGTAACTGTCTATCATCAGTAATTTCTAGAAGCTGCATACTCTGGAGTCAGATTCATTTTCTGAGCTGTCACAACACTCTCCAGTAATGACTCAAAGTCAACATGCAGAGAGGAACTTCAGAACTGACCGGGACTTTGGTGAAGTGGTGCCATATTTGTTGGTCAGCTGTTGTTTATCATCGCTCTACTTCTTCAAACTCTGGTGTGTGAGCTCAGGCATTAGAAGTGTTCTCGAAGTGCTTCCAATTTGCACCCTCTGAATTTGGAAGAAGCCGTGTCAAGCTGCCTTATATCCCAGTCAAAGTGCACCTAAACTTTCTCTTGAGAGTTAAAAGGTTCAATCTGACATTTTATTGAAACTGAGTTAATTATATATTCTTCAGCAAACTATGAGCGATAAGCATTTTTTTAGAACCTGCACTCAACCAGGTAGTAGCAAAGTCTAGCCTCTCTGAATTTTCTGCAGTACTTTCTCTATTTTTCACATTTTGTCAACTACTGATGGGTATTTCTGCTGAGAGGAGAGTTTATTCAAGAGGCTGAAGTTTCATGTGATGTTCTCCATGAAACAATCACTAGGATACAGACACAACATGGTGAGAAACTGGTGAAAAAAGCTGGCTCTGTGGTTTTAATCATCAAGTTGGACTCACCGGAGGACAGAGAGATTCAGAAAATCTTTGTACCCACAGTCAACAGACTTCTTAGTTCTTCTATAAATAAATAAAATAAGATTCCAGACGGACAAATATCCCTTTGGGGATGAATGAAGTTCTTGATTTGTATTGTATTGTATTAACACTTGACATGCACAAAAAGGAACCAACCAGGTTCTGCTTCTTTGTGATGTCAGTACAGTTCAGAGTGGAGGCTGCAGAGCAGCCAATGAAGCAGCAATGAGGTCTGTGAAGGACCTGCGGTTGGCAGATTTTATTGACAAGTCTGAGAAGATCAACGATATGACGCTAGGCGAGTTCACTGTTTTTAGGAATTGTTTGGATAACTCTACTTTCACTGTTACCTGCCCTGTTAGCCAAAAAGCCCTACCTTGGTTTTGTTAAGAAGAGGGACACTACTTGCAGTTTCCATCACTACAAACCTCAAAACAGATTGAGAATTATAGTAGATTTAGTAGGTTTTTACAATTGCAGGTTGTTGAAACCATGCTAACTCTGTTGTTGTGTTTCTTCTTTGTCATGACTTGACACACCTGGAAAGAAAACCATGACTATAAAAAAAAGAAAAACACCAGAGAGGGGACAAAAGGAAGGAGAGAGCCAGACAAAGAGACAGCAGTCAATGTTAAACTGAAGGTAACAGCTTCTGATGCCGAAGAAGGAAAAAGCCAGAAAAATGAAAAGAGGGACAAAGAGTGATCTCAAGAGAGTCTACCAGAAAAAGAAAGGCAAGGATAAGTCAGTTTGTTATGAGTGAACCTTAATTATTATATTTACTTGTCAAAGAAATAAAAGAAGCATGAGGCTGTCTTGCTGCTGTATTTAAAGGTTTTTTTATGTCTTAAAGGTGATAAAAAAATAGAGCCTTACATAGACAACATTTAAATAGATGAGGTCAGACACACTCTGCCTCTTTTCCCCTGACAGACTCCTCTAACATATTGGACAATTCATGACTGTAGAAATGCTACTGGACTACATAAAGAGAATTAAAAGTTTACAGGTTTGAACTTTTGACAGCCTGTTTTTAAGGCTAATTAAACACAGGTTAGCAGCTGGTGTTGAAAAAAAAAAAACTACATTTCACATATCCGGTTCGTCATAAACCCTGGATGGAGCCTCAGCAAAAGCACGGGACCATGCAAAGAGATCCAGTGTGGGACAGAACATTAGAAATGACTTCCACACTTATGGACCATAAACATGAGAGCAAACTCAGATCAATGAGATTCCATTACCATCCTATCTCATTTCCCACAGCTGAATTGGAAACGGGTTAGAGATGGATCGTGTCATTACCAATTCCAGCGGATCCACAGATGAGCATGTGTGAGTGGATGGTGTGTGTGTGTGTGTGTGTGTGTGCGTCTCTGTGTGTGGGTGCTATCTGCAGCTGCTGCAAATGAACAGGTTTTTAGTGACAAGCAGGAAGGTGAGCAGGAGTTCACACGCTATCACCACAATCATTGTCGTTAATAGGCAGAGCCGCTGATTTCCAAACTCAACTATTTCTGGCAAGTCCTTGTTTGGAGTGCAAACTCTGACCTGCTCATAATCACTTTTTGATGCTCAGGATACTTTTTTAATGAAAAGATAATTAAAGAGTCAGCTAGTTAACTCACACACATATATAGACTGTAAATTAACAGGCTGTAATCTGTGTCTCCTCTCTTGTTTCTTGGGGGATTTTTCTTATACATTTTTGCCTCAAATACTGTTCCATACAGCTGTGTAAACAATTGAGAAATCCCACCAGTACCTCATTTAACCTCCACAAAAACTAACAATGCCCATAAGCTCAGAAAATAGAAGTATTTTAAGAAGCTTTTTACTTTCCCTTTCTCTAATGTCTTTATCTTCCACACTCAAGCTCGCTGTACCTCAATAATCCTCCTTTGCCAAATATTACTTGACCGCCCACGGATGTTCCACTAAGTAGACATGTCATAAATAAAGGAGTCTTTTAAACACCAAGTTATAAGCCCATAAAATAGATTATGCCATCTGTCCTTGGGCCACATCCATTACTGAACATTATTGATTTAAAAAGAAATCGTTTTTCAGATCAGCCGATTCTCAGCTGCTTTAGAAGAAACATTTCAACCACTTTTCTTCTACCTTTTCCTTTCTTTCTCATCAGCAGGTGGGTCACTGCAGTAAAAGACGACACATACAAGCCACACACAGACCCGCGGAGGTAGAGGTGATGTTAACTCACCGGAGCAGAAACAACAGCAGAGGGATGTGTGTCCTGTCCCTGCACACAGGCTCGGTCCTGTGAAAAGACATGGGGGCAGGATATTAAACTCAACCGAAGGAAAATCGAGCAAGCGATCTGACGAACAATCAGGAAAGTGAACAAGTAGATAAAGTGTAACAGTTGTCCAAGATTTAATGACTTTCAGACCTTCAAGCACGCTAGAAATTGGGATTTTGGAGGAAACAGATTAGTGTGGCAAAAGGAAAAACACTATCTCAAACAGCTGAGTGCACAGCAAACAACTTACTCGCATCAACACAATGAGCGCAATAAAATTTACTTTTGGGTGTTGTTAAAAATCAAAGTGGCGGTTTATTGTGATGTATGTTGAGGCTATATGGATTACACTTGTTTTCTCACTCTAGCCAACAATATTTAACTTACATGAACCCTGATTATAAATGAAAGTATAAAGTCTAAGGGTTCAAACTCGGCTGGATCTCGGGAAAACAGCTTTCACCTCTATTTCTCCCCTGTGTCATGGGGGAGATTTTCACATTGGAGCTAGATCAAACAGTTTTTGTTACTTGGAACAAATTTTGCAGGAATATGTTTGCTGTTTAAGCCAATAATAAAAGTAACAGCTGATGATCGGTTTAGCCAAATGACACATTGATGCCAAACTACTGAGAACACATCAAGCAAAAATCAATTCAGCATCAGATTTTTGGACCAAAAACACACACAGAGCATATGACCTTCAGATGTAAAAAGCTGTTTTTGCGTCTGACTGTGTAGCGATGCATCTTCATGAGGTTTCACCATCAAATGGAGGAATGTCATCATGGACTATTTCTTTACATCACTCTCCCTCACTGAGAAGCTAATTGCCATTAAGACACGACTGCTCACAGCCGTAAATGAAATGAGACAGGAGCCGTTACCCTCCGGAAAAAGCCGGCATGCTGAGAGAACTACACTCTGCAACAGCAATGACAGCTGGCAAGACAATGATTACACAGTGCACACACAAGCAAAGTGTGACTGCATCCTTGATAGTGTTCGTTTCAATGTTTGCATCTGCACTGATAAAGCTGTGACCTCTGGTAATGAAAAATGAAGCCAGTGTGGGAGTGCAAAAAAGCTGCAGTTCCTCAAATGTCCACTAGAGGCTGTTTTAAAAAGCAAAGAAATCCCCATTTGGTTTTGAATGCCCATAAAAAAAGGTTTAGCACTCTCAATGTTGTGCTCCAGGCTTTGTTTTTCACAGTCAGTCCTGCTGTATGATGAGTAGCCTCACCGCCTGACCAGTTAGAAATGAAGCAGGAGTAGGACAGATTTCTGTCTGGGCCCTAAAGACAACCTAATGACAGATGGGAAAGTGTTAAAGTGCCACTCTGTACCAGAGACAAGCAGATAATAGTTCGTCTTCCACAGCCAGACCTATTTCTATCCCATATAGCAGCACAGGGCAGAGGTATGGCTGCACACAGCGTATAACAGGACAAGGAAGAGTGGAGGAATAAAACACCACATAGAAAATGGGGGCAGCTGTAGCTCAGTGGTGGTTGTCTCTTCATCAGAAAGTTGGCAGTTGAACCCCAGCTCCTGCAGTGGGCAGGAGTGTCCTTGGGCAAGACACTCAACCCCAAATTGCTCCACGTGAAGTAGTCAGCAGCAGTGTGTGAATGAGTGCGAATCATAGACGAGGGATGTGATATATTGGGACATTTAACCTTCAATTTAATGTAATAGGGAATGACAAACTTACATGCCTTTGTTCAGCAATATTTCATCATTGCAGGATTATACGTGTGCAATGAGCTTGTTGATCAGGGGTGGTGTCTTGTTAGCGGAACATAATGCATTTAGTTAAACTAACTCTAGAGGTTAATAAACTCAAAGAAATTAAGTACTGACACCAAACGTCTTGAACATTTTCTTGTGACGGGTTCTCAATCACAACCTTGTGTTAGTATTTCTTTGTCTTTGGGCTTAAACACAGTAAATCTGTTTCAGTTTAGAGAAATCATATTACACCCTTTATTTGGTTAAAATAAATTGACTTTTATTGCATTTATTGGGTGCATACAACAAACTGTTACATAGTTTAATTTTCTACATCATGATTCAATTTGAGTTTATGTCATTTCAAAGTAATACCTTTTTGTTTGTCTTTGCTCTGGCTCACCTGGCAAAAGGCTGTCTGCGGCTCCAAGATGGCCTCTTAAGACCTACCCACAGGAAGTGGGACAGACCATCAAGGGGGAAGGAAGGAGAAGCTTGGACTTTTGATTCTTTGTAAAACTATTGTCTTAATACTTTCAGTCAGAACAGACTATTTAGTTTTTTTTTTTGTTTGTTTGTTTTGTTTTTTTTCTGCAAGTAGTTGATTTGGATAATTTGATGGTGTTTTTCTGAGTTTGTTAGGTGTTTAGTTTGTAGTCACCTTAGTTTCCCCCTTGTGTTTATGTTGGACTAGTCCTTTGTCTATTTAAACTCCCAACGTATCACTTAGTAGGTCTGTTTGACTATGTTTGCTAGGTTGTAACTTTTAGAGTTGACCTCTTTTAGTGTGGGCCCAGACTTTAAATTGGATATTTTAATATCGATTTCGGCTTTTTCGGGGTAAAACTTAAGGATCAAGATCTTTTTCCACACCTTTGTCCTTTGCCTGGTTTCTTGGTCCTTTACAGTTTCATGTTAAGTTTTTCAACTAATCGTGTACTAAAGTTGCTCTCAATGTCCCTTTTCTTGTCCAAGGACATAAGGCAAGAATAATGAGATCCAACACCACCTACTCCTCTTCACCTCAGATTTCGCTTGATTTAACATTAATGGTGCATTTTAGTCTTGAAACTGGTGATCCTTGTCCAAAACTCTGATTGCTATCCCTGCGTGTCTCCAAGCTGCCTGTGGTGAATAATCTATTACAAGTTAATTGAAAATATTTCTTTCTCATTTGTTAAGTATTGGGGCTTATAATAAATGACAATGGACCAAGAGGTTGACTTTTTTTAAGTACTCTTTCCAGGAACTTTAATTTGGAATATTTTGAGCAGATAACTCTTACAGTGAGAACAAACACACAAAAGCTTTTCGCTATTTGAGAAACTGAAGAGAGAATACAGTTTCTAAAAAATATGTGAGTCTGCAGCTGTAAAGTTATGCAGACATTTCAATATAACTGATGATTAACTTGATGCCTGTGCCCTCCAGCGTGAGAAAAGCAGCCATAAAGGTACGAAAGGAGAGAGATGTGATATGACATAAAGTACTGTAGTCACTTTAATGGCTGAACTGAGCAGTCAATATTCAGCAGAGAATGTCAGTTTGAGTTCAGATGTCTCTGTTAAATGATAAAGAGGGAGCGTTTCCTTCAGTTAATAACATTACTGTAAGGTCGCAGACACCATCAGTCATTCATTTGTGTAATATGAGCCCTCCCCCTCATTAGTAGTTCAGAGAAGTCTTTATATTCTTTTCATATAAGTTTATTTGTTTTAAAGGAGATGGTCGACATTTCATAACTGCGGAAAAATGAACAGTGGCATTAAGAAGAAGTCAAACAAGGCCTGCAGGATGACAGCTGGAAAACAAACACGACTGTAACTGTTCCTGTTAGTGTCATCATTTTATTATCACTACAGTATGCAAAGTCGGATGCAAGTTCAGTGAAAGTTGAGCCTTTTTTTTTTTCTCTCTTCTGTCTTCACTCTGCCTTTTCGCTGTTTCTGGCAGACAAGCTTTGACACACTGTTCAGATACGGGAACACAAAAGCAGCCTAATCTGACCCCTAACACAACAAGACAGCCTGGAGAAAACTTCAATATTACTTTAAAAATAGCTTTAAAAGCTCTCTTCATATTGTGGAATACTTTTTTTTTTCTCATTGTCAAAAGCCAGTTGTTTCCTTATTTGTGACACAAATTATTTTCTACAATGAAGCTACCAAAATTTCAGGGGAGCCATCACCAACGCACGGGGAAGACATTTAAAGAAAACTGTGCTTTCTTTAACACAAAAACGAAGACAGGAAAGAAAAAAGTGACTGACAAGGGGGTGGGAGAAAGAGAGAAATAAAATCGTGTTGGTTCAACACAGGCAGAGGGGTGAGTTTGGAAAGACCAGATTAGACAAACTACAGACAGTGGTACTTTGATGAGAGGAGCCGCTCGTATTTATGATTAAAAATCGTCCGCTTCTGTCTGCCAATAAGCTCTTATCTCGACTGCATGCATATAAGTCTGATAGCGCCTCCAGCCATAGTGAAAGATACAAAAATAATTAGCTAACATTCAGCTTTGAGCACACAGAAATTTTAAAGTGGAGAAAAAAAAAATCCTTTGGAGGAGGAAGATAGGAAGAGAAGCAGCGGTTTTACTTACAGCTTGTTCTTATGCTAAATGTTTCTGTTTATTTCTGTGTGAGTCTGTTTAATCTACTCTGGCAAAAGCAGACAAAACACTTTACCATCGAAATGAAATCAGTCTTTAGACATGAAAAATGGGATTGAACCTGAGCAGGATTTCTTACTTTATACCTACTTTACCCTGTAAATGATGTTTAAAATGTGAAGATTATATTTAGACTGTGGAGGACAGATTGGATTTGTGTCGAAATCTTTTATTTGCAAACTCAGAATGCTAAATCTGGAAAGACTTGCACAAAAACGCAGATTTATTGCTCTAACTTTGGTAAAATTTGGATTATAAGCCTGCTCCAGTCAGCAATGTGCAGTTTCTGTGCAACTGTGCAGTCCTATCTAATACCTCATTTTCACTATCCTGCCTGTTCCCAGTATGATAGTTCAGCTAAGCCTGTTCATGTTTTATCACTGAACCAGTGCTCCAAAATGTTTACTTACCAGACAGTATTGAAATAGAAACTGTGATGCAAAACCAATAACAGCAATTCTCCCAGGAGACACATGTCTCAATAGTGAATGTTTCAATGTGTCTTTGCTGAAGGACACTTTTATAGATGCCGTATAAAAGAGAAGCATTTGTTTCAGGAACTAATAGTTAAGAGTGCCAGAGTGCTAATCAACCATTTATTTCAACCAGCTTCTAGTCAGTCACTAACATGATTGAAGTATTGTACAGCTTGGCACAATTTTTTGCAAAGAGTGCCTTCAAACAACACTTCCTGTTATGGAGTTGTGCTATGAGGAACGAAATGAATGGAAAGACCTCAGATTTGTTCATCTAACCAATCAAGGCATGGCATCAAAACTCACCATCACTGGCTGATTCTACTGAGTACTGAGGACACAGATGACCTGGATTAAAATATACAGTATGTTTAAAATGCATCCAACAATATTGCTGCTTATTGTAATGTTTGGCACCAATAATCGTCATAATTAATGTAAATCTCTATGAAATCCCTCTTGAAATTTATTACCAATATTACTGATACTCTTAGCAGTGGTGCATGTGAGTTACAGAACTTGACCTGACTTTAATGCGTCATCTTGTCCCTACTTAGACCACTATTATTTATGACAAAAAACTTCACGATGCACTTTGCTCAAAGTGCCTTGAAAAAGAAAATAAATTATGAACAGGTTCTCGTGATTTACTTTATTCCTTTGAATCAAACGTCATCCCCAGAGATAAACCAAACTCTAAAGTGTTCCTCTGAGGGCTCATTGTCAGAAGAGCTACTGAAGATTGAATAAAAGCATGAGAAGACACTGGGAAGAAGAAAAGTTTTTAAGTACATGTCTTATCTTTGTCGACTGCATATGGGACTTCAACAAGCCTGATGAATTAACAACATAAATAGACCATTTTAGCCGGATTTATCACACCACCCAACAAAAATAGGATGGTTGTCATTACAAATTCTGATAGAAAATTTAGGAATACAGTCATGTTTGTTAGATTTAGAAAAGATTTTGGCAGAGCGACAATGGTGTTCTCATAAAACTCCACTGATGGCTCAACATGTGATCCAAAGCCGGAACAAAAATCTCTTGAGTTCCAAGCCTTTGTTTGCAAATAGAGGCAGGAAAAAATATGAATAATACAACGGGTGCAAAATAGGTATTGAAATTAAAAATATGGCATTTCAAAGAGTTTGTGCCAATTTTATCTGTTCTCCCACAACTCCCAGTGGTGCAAGTTGAAAGAAGGTAACAGGTGAAAAAGACTCCTGCCCGTCTTATCCGCAACAAAACAGGAAGTGCATTCCTCCTACTGGCTACAAACCGGCGTCATGCATGAAACTAAGGCGCGGACTACACGTATATAGATATTTATTTATCAGGATATTTTTGTACTCCTGTCTAAATAAATGTATCTGTCCACACATGTTCGTTCTCAAAAATATCTGCGTCCACACGTAGCCTTCAAACTTAATCCTATCTGGTGCCGCTTAAAAAAAAATTCGGGAACAAAGCTACCTGATTGGCCATCATGCGTCATGCATTGTTTGCGTAAGCTACGCTAGTGCGTAGGGTCCATGTGACGGAACCATGTGACCAATAAAAGTATTGGCCGCAGCAGACGCTTCTGTGAGCTGGCTGACTGGTGGATGTAAAACAAACAACTGTATAAAACAAGGTTCACTTGAAAGGCTGAAATTAGCCCCATAGGAGCAAAACAAACGTAAAGAATACCCTGTATGTTTGCCATCGTTGTTGTTGTTTTTCTTTTTAATTCGCATGCGCAAGCTGCGGTTTGACGTCATCGATCCGTAAAAGCTCAACCACACGAAACCACTTGGACGGATATTTTTTTATTTCTCCACTTGTTTTTTCGGATTCAGACTTATCCTGTTTGAGTGTTCAAAACTCCCGTTTTGGTGTGGTAGGGAGGCCCGATTGGACATAAATATGTGCGGTTTGAAATATATCCGCATTCGTGTAGTTGGGGCATAACATTGCAGAAGTTTCACTGATGAAAGCTAAGAAGAAATAGGGGCTGACTGAGAAGCACCAGGCCATGGTAAATATGACTGCAAATGCTACTGGTGGGCTACATTTATCCAGGTTTACATAAAATGTGTTTTACAGTTTGAGTAAAAATGCAAACAGGTTCACTGACACTGAGTCACTGAGTGACTGTGAAGCACGAAAACATGCATTAAGATTTCACTGATAGACTAAGTACCCTAAATTTAACCAACCGACTATTATCATACAAATAGGTTTTTCTCACTGAAACAAAACCACAGTATAGTCAATCAATACATCCATCCTGCACTACTATATCTAGTACTGTAGATTTGTTGTATCTCTCATGATACTACACAATTGTGGGCCATGGATGGCATCTTTTATGCTGCATCATATTGCATTGTATTGTGCCAAATGATATTGCATTAAATTGCATCACATCACATTGTACCATATTTAACATTGCATCATGCCATTTTGCAGCAAAACAGATATCATATTGCATCACAGTGTTACTCTGCATCCTTTCAAACCATATCATATCAGCTCATAATATAGTATTGTATACTATCATACTCTATTGTATCTTATTGTATTATGGCAGATACAGGGAGCAAAGGAGACTACTGCTACTTTCAATCTGGACTTTTTAAAACTTAGTTGGAGGAAGAGATCAATCAATAAGTGGTTTAAAACAGATACAGAATTTTTCACACTGGTGACATTGTCTTATCAACTTTTTTATGAGTTTTAAAAAAATGGAAAGAGTTGAAAACTTCTCTCTCTGTACTTTCTTGCGTGTTTCTGTTGGAAAGTGCAACTCTCTCACATACCTGCCCCGAGCCATCCACAATAATCCCACACAAAAGGTGAAATGTTGGACCTAGTTTTGAACCGTGCTGCCTGAAATCATCATGTTGGAGTCTGATAAACATGCAGTTCTATAATACAGCTCAACAAAAATCACTACAAAAAGGCATCAGCTCATGCAATTCCAACTTGCTCCTTGCTAACAGTTATTAAGGTCATATAAGGATGTTCATATGCATACTGAGTATCACTGAAAACAGGCTGAATATGATGGAGAATTACTCAGAAGGGGAACAATAAACCAGGATCTGAGATGAAGAGCACCTGGAGCAGTATTTCAGCCTGGATGTCTTCAACCTGCAACCAAAATTGTGGTTTACTTTGACAAAATTTCTCCTCCGACTGAGTCTTTTTGGTCATTTAAATTGCAAATTCTGTCCCAACATTGATTGAGTACATGCAGCTCCCATAAGGATGACACAACAATGGCTGATTTCAGACATGATTCTCTGGGTATAATTGGATTAGAAGGCTTGTTTCTGCAGACAGAAAAGGAAAGATAGACTAAAGAGCTCTCCCTCTCTCTCTCTCCATTTATTTGCTTTTGTGTGGATGGAGGTGATTATTACTAGTCAATGCTTGCAAGTTTCATTGAGCTGCCTGTGAAAACGGGGCCTTACTGAGAAGTTCTTATTCTGTGTGTATTTAATTTACTGTTCAAAACATATACACTCCCAACACTTTACTCATCGGATACTTAAATTCGAGCTCATTATGAATAAAGCCCCAATAATAATACAAATACTAGATACTCATAATGTCATGCGGATTTATTTTTTTTGCTATATCTTTAATTCTAAAACAATTCTACAGTACAAGCTTGAATTCCCATTATTTGTGAACCCGGCAGAGTTACTGAACCCTCCATGAAATTAATCTTCATCTCTTCCTCTGGAGAGCCAGTGAACCTAATAACCCAGTGCATGATAGCACCTGAGGAGGTTCCCTTATTTCCTCTCTGTTACATGAAAATGGACTCCACTTCATCAGCTCTCAGGCAGCCCTACTTCAGCGCAAGAGGTGGAGGTGAGGGTTAGGTTAGGATCCTTGATTTGAGAGTGCAACAAGAGACGATGCAAATGAGACGAGTGCAGTCCTTAAACCTACACAAAGGATACTATGCCATGTTAGGAGTTACTATAAATTGCACACAAGAACTTTGGCACTTTCAATTATCTCCAATAATCTATTTTCAGCTAAAGCAGCTACACAGTAGAGTTTCATTTTCATCCTTACAATTTTCTCAAACAGCTTGACTTGATCGTTAGAAAAGACTGAGTCCTGCTCTTACACAATGTGATTAGAAAATATACATATCGCTGGTGGAAATGAATAATTGCTGATGTTTTCTGCTTAATTTGACTTAATACTTTGCATGAAAAGAGCACCTTCTGTTGTTTCTGCCAAACAACACTTACTACAGCTAGTACAAAATACGGCATTTTCGGTAGTATCAAAGGCTGACACTGGTCCAAAAAAAGGTTTAATAATTACAGTGAAAGAAATCTTACCTTAGTTCTAGTAATTATCTTTAAACAAATCAATATACAGCAGATTATTTAAGTGTCAGAAAAATGAGTAAATATCCCTGATGTTATGAACCCTGTAGAGTACCTAAATATTGTTTTAATGGCTAACTAATATGAGGTATAAATAAATGAATAAACATCAACACATGGGACAGCTAACTTTGTGAGCTGCAAGACGCAAAAAACTTCCCAGTTATGATCTGAAAGCTGTTTATACTAAGAGCTCATGCAAGTCATTGAAAAATGGGGATCCTACAAACATGTTGAACACTTTGAACCATGGCGAAGTTTTCTATTCTCTAAATATTTCCTAAGACCGCTATGTCTGAACTCTGCAAGGGCTTTTGTGGACGCTCATTAGCAAAGTTTAAAGACATAACAGCCATAAGATTTGATCAATCCACTCAGTCCTGTCTGGAGCTCCTGCAGTTGTCTGTTGTCCATTCAACAATACACATCTGGACACAAGCTGCACAATGCAAATAGGGAAAATATGCTCTACAGACTTAAAGAGAGTGTGAATCAGCTTGTATTTAAGGGAGCTATCATGTCACGGCAGAGAGTGAGCGATGCCTCAGCAAGTTGGGGACTCTATTCTGTATTTATCTATTTTGGCAGACATAGTAAAAAAAATCCTGATGTTGTCTTTTGCATAACTGATTGTCTCTCTTTTTAACAGTGGGGAAATACACCTATTAATTCAACACCAGCCTCAGATCAACAATTTGTTTTGTATCTGTCCTCTATGACACACAGCAGATTCCTAACACCAAGATATTTGGTATACATATGAACGAGAAGGAAACTGTTTATTTTCAGTCAACATGAAGTTGTACATTTCTTAAATCACTGAGATTTACTTGACGTACAATTTGCCTGCATTACCTCACAGTGTATTCGCTGTTGACGTTCATGTACTCAGCGAGCTTTTGCATTATTCCAGCAGCTAATTAATCATGCGATGTGTCAAACACTGCACCAAACAGACATTTTGCCGCAAGCATGAGGCTGCGGATACTCAGAAAAATATCAAACGAAATAACCCAGCCTTGTTTTGACTACTCCGTTCTTCTTTAGTTCGCCACAGTCTGGTAAAGTCCCGAGTGCTCATTTCACGTCCCTGTCTGCTCTGACAGGGTGAGTCATTACTCAAATCCAATTTGCCTGCAAGCCTTTATGTTGGATGCTTTGCTCGTGTGTCTCTCTGTTGACATATAAAAAAAAGCTATCTCTTTCTATCCCTGGCATGTGACCAGCATGTTTCTCCTTATTTCCCCAACATCAGTTGGTGAGAGGAGCAATGAGTGGACGAGATGCCACTTTAACCGAGGGCAAAAGAAAATGAAGCCATTCATCTCTCACTGGGTCATGAAAAGAGATGGGAAACTCAGAGGGGAAACACTGGTCTGCTTTCTGTTATGTTTCTGTAGATGGCGAGGCTGAGTGGATGTTTCCCATTAGAGCAGTCTGCCTCTTTTCAAGCCCCCCACCCCTGTGGCACTGACTATGGTCGACGCTGGCTGCTGCCTCTGTGCCCAGCTGTGAACAGATGGGTGGCACAGAGCAGGCCAATATGTCATGCCTGATGGTGGATTGAGGAAATATGAAGGATTTCTATGTGGCTCTCTGTTCAGATGTAGTGAACGCAGTAAAGAGATCTGATTTGGGCCTGCAAGAAGGGAATCAAGTGTAAGGACACAGTCGCACCTTAAAGACACTTCAATAACGCTCAGCACAATCTTGTCAGGCATAAAAACCCTCCAACTATTTTTGGTAAGAGTGGATTTTAAGCATTTTACTCACTACTTATGAAACACACACAGCTCGTGCTGTGTGCAATCGTTATTTTTAGCATAAAAGGACTTAGCTAAAACTCTCCTCATGTGTGATAAATATGCTTTGACTGACTGGGCTATGTGGCTTTTTTCCAAAAGTAGAAACAGCTCCTGTGGGTTATGCAGAACCCGTTTTGAGTCCAGGGAGGCTGATAAATAATTAAGACTAAAAGTTGTTCTCGGAAATTCTGCTCCAGGAAGTCACAGGATTAACATAAGCAGTCGGAGTAGACGCTCATGTGATGATAGTGTACAAAAACAATCAGACTTGATTGTTTCAACGCCAGACTATTCTCGAACATGGCTGTTGAAGACTGGCTGCGAATTATTTATTTATTTATTTATTCATTTATTTACACATTCAGACTAGATGGTTGATAAGAATTTAAATTTCCTTTTGAAATTTGTCCCTCTAAAACACAGTGCATGAAAGGGGTACTCCATACCAATTGACACTCAAGTCAACTAGTATCTGACTCAGCTTAAAAAATGAATAAATAAATATTTGTAAAAATCTTGATGGGCTGTTTAGTCAATTAAAAATTATTACAATTTACATGATCCAGTTATTACTTAAAGACTCCAAAAACAGGCAACTGGACTGTGTAGAGTTAAGAAGACGTTTCGCCTCTTATGCAGGAAGCTTCTTCAGTTCTAAATATTGCTAGTGTGCGGAGCAGATATTTATCTTACTGGAGAAGGGGACAAACAACGACTGGGAGGAGTTTGGAAAGAATGGGTCGTAGAAACCCAACTCCAAGTGTTCCCCCCGAGGGTCATTAACCTAAAAGGGTCTACGACCAATTCTTTCCAAACTCCTCCCAGTCGTTATCTGTCCCCCTTCTCCAGTAAGATAAATATCTGCTCCTCACACTAGCAATAGTTAGAACTGAAGAAGCTTCTTGGATAAGAGGTGAAACGTCTTCTCAACTCTATGCAGTCCAGTTCCCTGTTTTTGGAGTCTTTAACAAAACCATGACCTGGATGAATGAGAATCTACATGGACATATTCAGTTATTACCATATAACTTTTTGCAAAAGCCTTTGACAAAGACCTTAACTCTTGGCTCTTAAAGACCCACTCCGATGAAAATCATGTTTTTCTTGTTGTCTACATGAACATATCAAGAGAAAACTAAGAGCAAAATTGCACTTCATTCAAATCACTGTGAACCTCTCACAGATCCAAACAGCAGGTTCAGATACAGCGAGATTTCCTACGTCACAATTTCAAGCTCCACCCCTGGAATCAACCCCTCACTATGCAGGCCAGACTCTGAGAAATACAGAGGACGATCGCAGAACAAGCATGTGCGTTAGCGGACTGCAATGATCGTAAGAAAGATAATTATGATATTAACTTTCATCATGCCCCCAAAGACATTAGCATCTGAGAGTTGAATAGCTCCTATGTTACCTGCCACTTCTACGACACCGGCAATGTTAGGCTGCAAGCTAGCATGAAGAGGAGTGTGCAGAGCAGCGCTGTCTCCATCCACGATTCAGAGTAATGAGCTACTGGAGCTCTGCAGAAGAAAAGCCCTTGAAAATGACACAGGTAACATGATTTGGGCTAAAAACTTCATAATCACAATTTAAAGACCACGGGTAACACTTCAAATAATTAAAAAAAAATATGATCAGGGTAGGACTTAATCCACTCATGAAACCACTGCTCTCTATAAAGAAGCAGCAAAAACAGAGAAGCTACAGTTGTAAATCATTCCAATCAAAACGACACTGAAATGGAAAAAGCCAACAAGAGGAGTGAGGGGATGATTGACCCCTCAAAAGGAAAGCTGTGTTGATGCATTTTGTGAATCACTTGAAGCAAAGTTGTTCCTTTCCCCTCTAAACTGTGGCTTTCCCAGTTTTACTTATTTCACACCTAAACTCTGCTCAGTGGTACAATCAAAGAAAAATGGTTCAGAAATTTGCAAAAGACAGCTTCTTTTCCGAGTCCTAAGAGTGATGGGATGTGTTCAGCCAATGCAGCATTTGCAACAGACCCCTAATGTTTTGTCATTTCAACACACTCCATGAAGCCCCTTTTTAAATGCGTTCTGGTGCTGCGGCAGCCAGTGCCGCACAGCTTGTCCTTTCCCCCCCTCCAAAAAACAAGATGGACTCGACTGATAAATGATTAGCATGATGAGGAATCATGATCTAGATCAAGTGCAGGCTAATGTCACCAATCTGTGTTGTCCATCTGTCTCATTAACCAACCGACCACCTAACTCACTCCGCACCTACTGAAAGTCGGATCTGGTGTCCAGAGAAAAGCAGTGGGTGGACTTCTCCGTCTTACTACAAGACGTTAGAGAGATACTTTGGTGAATTGTCTAGTATGTGTGGTTTGTGCTCTTCTCTCCTGAGATACTGACCTTGAAAGAGTTTTGAACATTTTGAGACGATGAGAGAGGAAAACTCAGAAAACAAAGAACGATTTCATTTCACCTTAAAATGCTCCAATTATCAACCACTGGATTTTTATATCTACACATACATCTTCAGAGAGTACTCATCAGCGGAGTTATTGTAATTAATCGCAATCACACATTTAATTCTTAGAGTAATCTTGATTTGAATAACATTTAACAACCAAAATTTATATATATACTAAAGTTAATTGTTCAACTTGATTCTCTTTATTACAATCAGGTCTAATTCTGAACATATATCTACAGTTATTGACTAATGGATAGGAATTTAAAAGTGGTATGTCTTCAAAAACACACACATAATTAAAGATGTCTCCAAAAGCCTGACATGGTCTGTTTACTATTACAGTAACAAGGCTTCTATCTGGTGAAAAATGTAATTGTATTTGTGGGGAGGAGGAGAGCAGAAAATACAGCCTGTCACTAAATTGAAAAGAAAATGTTCTGTGTATCGTCATCATGAACATCTCACCACTAATACCTGTATTTATGTCACAGCGAGACATCTGAAAGGTACTTGTCACATGACTACACATGCAGGCGATGTAGAGAATAATGGTGAGTGATGTGGTGAAATGGCTCACAAAATGAAGTCCTGCTCACTTGAGCTTTGCCATGTAGCGCACCATCCATTTGAATTATCTGCGGTCTGGTAAACACACCTTGTGTGGCATACAGTGTTCATGTGAAAGCTCTCAAAAACCTCAGCGCATTATGTGAGCCGGCAAGTGTGAGATGCACCCACGGTGTCATTTTTCACCTGTTACATGACAAGGGGGGTTAGAGTGTCACATGCGCGGCTTTCGTTTTGGGAGATGCCATGAAAAATAAATGGCTGGCGTTGTTTGCACTTGATGGATCCTGCAGATTTTGTTTGTAAAGGCATGTGAAGCTCGGAGAGTGAGCAGGATTTTTCAACCTGTGTTTACAAGCGATTGTAAGAGGACATGCTGTGGCTCACGATGCATACTTTTTTTGCTTGCAGAAACATACACAAGCAGGTGGTATGGTCAAAAATGATCTCTTGCTTTTATTTTCATTACTGCCTCATACTTATGATGCCAAGTGATGAACAATGCCGCCGTGAAGCTGCTTTGTGCTATGCATTACTTTGTTGTGTTGCATTACATTAGACAGCCTTTGCTAAATGCAAATTTTAGCACTGAGGAAGTGGCATTAGTCACACATCACTTGTTCCACGGGTACCTGGCATCTCTGTGCAGAATGCCAATCCTGCCAGCCTCCATCCTGGCAGGGAGCTGACCCGACTGCTGCTGAAGGCATTATCACCAGCTTCCCCGCCCTCCCTGGCATGTCATGTCTGGCTAATCTCACAGTCACTTTGTATCTTGGCTCGGACGAGGCCCGTCATGAGGTCTTTTAGCCAGTGCAGGGACAACTTTTTATGCCATCAGAGGAAGTGCAAGGGGAGTGTTAAGTCTGATCCTGCTGTCGGGTTCATTCATTACAACAGAAATCAAACAGCCAACATATCAGCACCCAAGACAGGCAGCGCAAGTCCTTTTCACAGCGCTTGCCAATGGAAAGTACAGGACTTGTCAAAACTAAAAGAAAAAGTTACAGCTACTGCACCCAAACTATTGAAAAGTAACAGAGTTGTCATTCAACAACAAGAATCCATAAAATGAACAATAAAATGTCACATCCACAGAAGGAACGAGCATCTCACACAGAAACATTATTGAAATATTGATTGTTTGCACTATTAAAGGGATATTCCAGCGTAAAATTTATTCAGGGTCAAACACACCGCAACACCAAGTTAGACACCCCCTCGAGAGATAAATGTTGCCAACCGCTTGCTTCTCTAGTTATACCAACTTTAATAACGACCGCAAGATAGCAACACACAGCGGTCTGAGGAGCCATAAACAAACCTCAACCAAAAAGCCACTCTATAGCCACAAATAATGCTCAGAACAGCACCTAACTTCATCAACAGTACATATAGGGTCCCAGCCATAGCACTAGCCACCAAACATCTTTTTAAGCTCAAGAAAGAACATTTATGATCATCTCTTCATAGAAATGCAATCAGACTGAGACGCTAAGGCAGAAGAACTACTACATCTGCAGTGCAAAATGATTAATATGATGATTATTACTTCAAGGAAATGATAAAGTAATGATCATAAATGTTCTTCCTTGAGCTGTCTGAGGTGTCGCTACAAACAAATGGCTGCTGGAAGAGAGTAGGTGAGTTGTGTTTCATCTCTTTGCTAAAGAAATTAGGCTAAAAAGATGTTTGGTGGCTAGTACTATGGCTCGGACCCTGTATCGACTGTTGATGAAGTTAGGTGCTGTTCTGAGCATTATTTGTGGCTATAGAGTGGCTATATTGCTATCGTGCGGTCGTTACTAAAGTTGGTATAGCTAGAGAAGCAAGCGGTCGGCAACATTTATCTCTCGAGAGGATGTTTAACTTGGTGTCATGTGTGTTTGACCCTAAATTAATTTTATGCCGGAATATCCCTTTAAGTCTTTCCATTTATTAAAACCTAACCTTTAAATTCACCAGCAGGTTCCTTTACACATAAAAAATGTATACGATCAAAGTCAAACTTTTCACCATCTTTGAATAAAACTCTAATTCCTGCCGTCAAAAATATACTGATTAGGTCTTCAGAAGCGATGTGGCCCAGCGGGATAGTGCCACCGTTAAAAGTGAAGACCTGCCAGACTGACGGACCGACCACGGCTCCAGAAATGAAGAAAGATTACCTTTGAGGGAGGATTGTGAACCTAAAACCAGGAGGCCATATATTATCCTGATAAGTCATGTCGACCCATGCCAGCAGACCCATTGTAGGCCCCGCCACCTAATGACGGGAAACTGATAAGCGGCCATACCATGTCACCGGCGATGTAAAACAAAAATAGATTCAATTAATCATATGAATTGCCATTAAAGGAAAGAAAAAAGAAGATGATAGGGTCGGCTTCAGCCAGGTATGAGAGTCTAATGAAGAATAATCCGTCAGTGGATCAGTGGGATTTGAGTGGAAGAACATGAGATTTGACTGCCTGGATAAAAAATGGATAATGTCAGACTTCCATTGAGAATGGGACCCAAAAGTATGAGGATTCATGAATAATCTGTAATACCGCTTTTTTTTAAAGGCAAGTAATGTCATTTTTGAAGAGGACAAGCCTTTAAAATGTTTGTCAAGTGATACAAGAGTCAGAATGCATACGGAGGAAACTTTATCAATATAGCTTTAATACAAAAAAAAAATCTAATTTAAAGCACTAAAGAACATCAGCTGCTGCACTGTCTCGCTATCTCACAGCTTGTTAAAGTGTACTGCTTTGCTTGGAGACATTGTCGATGCCCTGTGAAATGTGAAATTAATATCTGTATCTTTGGGCAAGTAAGGAGAGACAAGTCTAATAGCCTGCACACTAAGTCATTTATTTATAGATCACATTTATGTCCAACAGACCTTTTTTTTCCTTTCACTTCACTTGTATGCTGATAAACTTATAATAGTATGAGGGTTATATAATAGTCTTTTTTAAAGTGGCTGATAAAAGCTTCTGGAAGAGTCCTGTAACTTAACGTTCAGAATAAAAGCTTTTCTTTAAGTGCATGTACAACTACCCTGCACAGGCTTTGCATGATACTGCGTTTACCGTCAGAAAGAGTTACACATCAAACCCTCTGCAGCAGCAGTACTTTACTAACAAATATACATGAGGAACCACTGGACAAGAGCCACAGAGAAGGAAGCAACAACATATCATGCAATAAAGAATAATTCAATAAGAAACTTCAAGAAAATATGTTACCATAAGATATGTTTTTGAAAGTAAATAAATAAAAAATCTATTTATTTTAGTTAAGAAGTTTATTTATTTTTTTTTTTTTCATTTACCACCTAACAAGTATTAACTCTTTACTGACATGTTTGAAACATGCTTTTATTTTGAAGGACACAATTTGTACTTCGATCGTAAAGTTGCAATAGCAAATAAACAGCTAAAAATCAATTCCTAAAAAATCAACATGACAAATGTATTTGCCCTCCTAAGCTTGTACATTGTTGTATTGTTTTGTGTTGTCTGTCTCTCTTTTTTACAAGCAGAGAAGGTGTGGAGACACAACTCACAATGAACACAAGGACTGAAGAAAGAGAGAGAGACAGCTGACTAGTCTGTCTCGATGGACAAACAGGGAAATGCTGAAATATTGCACCGTCTATTTGTGGGAATCACTGGTGGTGCATCTTCAACAGCAAAACTGTCACCTGCTAGTGCCATTTCTATACTGATTTAATTACTGTATTGCTCTCTCTGAAGACATTAGCAACCTCTGCTGTTTAACAAAAGGGTATCATGAGTCTGTTTCATCTCAATGAATTATTTCTCACCTGAACTAATTTAGAGCTATCTCGCAAGGTGATTTTAAATCTTCCTAAATAACCTACAGTACTTTCCTCTTACTAAAAGTCAAGACAAGTGGGCAATGCTTGGAGAGATGCTTCATCTAAAAATTAAAAAAAAAAAAAAGTTCAATATTAATTGCGTTTGTTGAAACATTCAATTCCAGGTAAGACACCATACTTCTGTACATCTTTCAAGTTTCATTAGTCTGTGGGTCTCATGACAGAGGCGATTTCTTCAGGCAAGAGAAAGAGAGTCCAAAAGCAGACTTCTGCATTATAAATGTAAAAGCTTCCAATAATGACTGATGACGTGGTTCAGATGAGTCTGAAAACCTTACTTAAAAGAAAGGGAGCCTCTCTTTTCCCCACTCATGACTATTTTACTGTAATGTCATTACAGGACAAAGCTCGAACACACTCAGTTATTTGTGCTGCATATTTGTCTCAATAATGGCATTCAGGCCTCCCAGAGTTTTTGAATATTATAATTACAGTATCTAGTTGAAAAGGATGTAATTTTATTTTTATTGTAGAATTTTACATAATTTAATCTATCACATGCATGCATACTGCATTTTTATAGAGAAGCTTACCGTCGAGCCAAATGAGTAGACTTTTAATTTTAGGACAAATGAGGACTATAGATTTTTAAGCGGCTGATAATGTGTGCTATTGGTCTTTGGTTTTTCATCATTTCTCTACTCCTACCTTGTTAACTTCACTTTGTTCTCCTGACTGATCCCTCTTTTATTCCTCAGCTACAGTTCATATGTTGCTCCTCAACCTCATTAAATTCACTCTTTTTCCTCTGCCTCACCCTTTTCTCCTGTCCCTTTTTACTACGCACTTTCACTATCTTGCTTCCACAGAGGGCACATAAGCACAATGTTCTGGGTGCTTGCAAAGCATCTGGCTCCCAAGCGCATTCACCCAGCCGGCCAATATATTTGCTCCCACAATGTCTGTACACAAAGTACACTTGTGACTGCTTGCTTGACTTGTCAAACACAAATTACTGGCCAGCGGGCGTCTGAGCCTCGCTGTGGCTCTAAAGACCTCGTTCTCTGGCTTTATTTTGTTTGTAAAAAAGAATATGACCTGTTCAATAACTGGAGCTGAAAACACAAAATATGCATCAAAGAAATTGAAGGATAACGCAATTTTGAGTCAAACTTTTTATGATAGGCAACATGTGCCCTACATATAAACTTTTACCCTCCAGTTTGCTATTTGCCCTTTATTTCAAAGTTTTGGAGAAATAAACATTGAGTATGAGTGTTGTCCAACAACAGCCAGTTACCAAAAGCTGCTGCAGGCCTTCAAGCAAAACAGACAAGAGTAAATTATGTCACAAGCATAGGAAGTCAACATTGCCAGTGTCTTTGGAAACGTCTGAATAAGTAAACAAAGTATTACAAGCGACTTAGTCGAGCAAACATCAACAGCGGCAGTGATTAGGCTTGAAAGACCTGCTGAAGACAACAAGAGCATCAATAAATTACAGAGGAGTTGGACCTCTTGTTTAACAAATCTGAATTTTTGAGTGTTTTTATTTGGATGTTTAGAGGTATGCCCTTTGTATTAGCTTATCATTGGTATCAGAGGTAAGAAAGTGTCATACAGTTTACGGTTTTGTTTTCAGCTTGAAAGTAAAGGTTATTTAAAGATGTATAGCTTACATGTGAAATTTTGCCACAAAACAGAGAAAAAGCATCATATTTTTAAGAGCCAAAGTGTACCACTGGCTCCTGTGAAAAATAAATACATTAAATTAAATAAATAAAAAATATAAAATAATACATTTAAAAACATTTAAAATACATTTTAGACAAAAAAGGGGAGTCTGCTAATTTGTGAATTGAATTTGAATTGAATTTTTGAATTTATTCTTTAATATTAAATCTATTATAAATAATTTTCAAATAATTGATTTGTTGTTATTAAATAAATATAATAAATAAATATTTAAAAAATATATTATATATTATTTATATTATTAAACTATTGAGTTTCCCTTTGGAGATAAATAAAGTTCATCTTATTCATCTTATTCCCAATTTTTACATCCAAAACGCTGCAGGACATCCATCTTCATAGAGCAAGTTTACAAAAGGAACTAACTATTTATAGATTAATATCACATAATGTTTATGTGCTACCATCCAATAAAGCAGTTCCTGATGAAGGGTTTTGCCTAATACAACAGGTGTTAGATAACAGCAACAGCAACCACTTTATGGCGGCCCATAGTAACTCTACAAGGACACAAAATAGCAAAAAGACAAACACATGACAGTCTGTTACAGCATCAGCATTAGCAACCCTACAGCTAAAATGTCAACAGTGAAAAATATGTTTAAACTAAACATACAATGACGCACACTCGCAATTTCCCATATTGTCCAAAACACGCAAAACAGACTTACAGATAGAGATGTAAAAGACACAACTGCTTCCTACTCTCCACCCCCTTACTTGTTCAGTTTATAGTCTGCCAATCATAACTGTGACTATAATCAAATGATGTTGCTTTTCCTCTGGCAGCAGGTACATGTAGACAATGGAGCAATCATGTATGTATAAAGAAAGAGGTGTGACAAACTGACAGGAGAGGGGTCTAAAGGAGTGGCAGCAGCCGTAGTTGGAGTGTCCTTCTGATGAGCCACACAACAGAGATGTGCTGATGTCAACAGAGTTTCCACTCCATTTCAACGATTAAGCTCACCATGAGGACGACACAGCACCCCGCTGTATATCATGAGTCCATCTGCAAGATGATTAGGAGGTTTATAGATGCAGGGACATCGTTTTTACAGCTCCCTTTTGGTTGGTGTCGTGGTAACCATCTTAATAAATAAATAAACATGTGATTAGCTTGGCAATAATTAATTTTACTAGTGCTATTAGGCTAACTGGAAGGTCTTTGTGTTTAACGGGAGTTAAGGGATATAGTAAAGATGCTGTCGCCCCTGAAGTTTGGGTTGGTGTTTGGATAACTTGGCTCTGGGTCAAACTTCAAGTTCAGTAAAAGTCCAGTACACGAATGGAGGCAGATACTCCGCTTGCCACCTCTTTATATCTACTACAAGCATCATTCAGCTGGAAGAACAGGCGCCCCAGGTACAAAGGACCCTGTTGCATTGGTCACAGTACCCCAGGATTCCCAGTCCCAACAGCATTTAATGAAAGTACCCTCCCACCTTCATTCATGGTTCATCAAAAAAAGGCAAGAAACCCCAAAGAAATAAAAAAGTATTGGAAAACTCTGTATTTTGACTTGACGCCATCACCTTCACTAGTTGGAAACATAATTACTAACTGCTTAGACAATTTATCTCTGTTTTTTATTATCATGGCCTGAAATGACAGTCAAATGTTGTGTCTTAGCTGTAGTTCAGTAACTATCCACTTTCTGGGACTGAAGCACTGCCTCTTGGCAACTACCCCAATGCTGTAAACCTCTACTATCCAGATGTAAACAAGCACAGATAACAGCATCTCTGTATTTTGGAGATTAAGTTGTATATATGTAGGTTGTGTTTGGTTAACCTGGCATATAACAACTCAGCCAATGTGTAGCCAGTACAGGCATGTGGACCAGGACATTGACCAAAGGCTGGTGGCGTTAGCTGTGTTGATTTATGACATCCCTACTTGATGCTACCTGATTGAGTGTAGCTGTATAAAAATACTGTACTATGATATGGGAATGCACTAAATATACAAAGATATGTGTTCTCATGAACAGTCTTATAAGAGTAGTTGGATACTACAGGTAAAACCTGATGTAGTTCAAGGGTTACACTCAAGTACCTGATCTTGTACTTGATGCAGAATCAGAGGCATTTGGTGTTCAAGGGTTAGGGTTGTGCTACTCACAGCACAAATTAAATGCTCTGCCATGACTGCTGTCCTTTTTTTAAGCAGCCTTAAATGTCTGTGACCCTGAAGCCAAAACACAACTTCTAAAACTAGGAGCAATAACTTCAGACCCGTGTCCTCCCTGCGTCTTATTGAGCAGCTATTGGCAGCTGTTCACAGGAGTTAGGCCCTTTAGGTGCATACACTCCAATAGTGCTCCATTCCTCTCCATTAATTCGTCATCAATATAGATCCATGTTTTGTTGTTGGTGGCACACTTGCACCTTGCTTGCCCTGTTGCTGCGGCCAGGACAGCCCTGCTTGAATAAAAATGAAGCCAATTTCTTCCATCGTGGCAGTCATTGTGCCATTTGTTGAGTAAAACACGCGGGTCCATTATTGGAGTGTCATGACGCTGTGTGTTTGGAAGGCGACAAATCACTGCAGCCTGTCAACCCGGCAGTTTCGTGGCATTACTCTCAGCAGAGGGGAACGCCGTTAATGCTGACAAACACTGGGGAACGGCAGTCATTTACAAAACATCTATTAAGCAGGTGCCAATACTCCAGCAGCGGATGAGACATCTCTCACTCTCACAGGGTCAGGTTTGCACTCAGCTGCCCAACATCAAATCTTACACTTAGATTTTGTCAAATACACAGTCACACATTCAAAGTAATAACACTGAACATCATTTTAATCTTCTTTTCTTTCACTTCTGCAAACGTGATTTCTCTTTGACACTGATCAAACCAAAAAGAGGGACATGCGTTGTTTGGTTTTTGTCAAAACGCCCAAAGAAGCCTCTCAGGGTTGCCTGATGCCGTGTTTTCTACAGAGGATGTGTGAGATCACAGACTTCAAATCCTTTTCAAAGCTCTTGCTCAAGGCTCCAGTTAAAGCTCATTAAAAGTCTAATCAAAACACGGCGAAAGCATTACATGTTAAGTTAATTTCCAAGTTTCTTTTTTTTTCCTTGATGAGCAAGAGACCGTAACAATATGAACCCTCTTGGCCCCAATGAAATATTCAAGATAAGATCAGCAACGACATCCAAGTTACAGCTCACCTCTTTCTGAATTCTCAGGAAAATGTAATTTATGACTAAACTCAGAACTCATTTTTTCTTTTTAATTGTTCATGTTGCCTTCAGGCGCTTGTCTTTGTTGGATTTGTAATTTAACTAAATGATGGAAATTTATTTTTCACTTTAAACCCCACCCCTGGGAGGTCAGGTGTGAAGATTCTTATTTTCTTCAACATTTGGTGCCACACAGTGTGTTATGCATGATTTACCTTATTCAACCCCAATTCTGGAAACGGTATGATGCTGTCTTAATCAATAAAAACAGAATTGGATGGTTTGCAAATCCTGTTAACATCATATCTAAATGAAACCAATAAGTTACACTACTAGTTAAGTTTTGTTTTATTGCCTGAGATGCACTATTTCAACCATAGTAACATATTTTGTAAAAAAAAAAAAAAAAGTTACCCCGAACAATGTGCAAGTAATAATGTTTCAAAAAGGCTAGACCAGAGGATGTGTATCATTGTGTTGCAAGATCTCCTTTTGTAGCAGCACTGAGTCAGTGTTTGGGAACCAAGGACACCAGCCACAGGTGTTCTGAAGGTGAGAGGCCGTTCTTGCCTAAAGCAGGATTTCAGCGGTTCAACAGTTGGGGTCTCTATAGTCTTTTTTTTTTTTTTTTTTTTTTTATGAAGCGCAAAATGTTTCTAAAGGGAGGCAAGTTGGCAGAATGTTGCTCAAAGCCCTGTAAATAGTGTTCAGCGTTAACGGTGCCTTCCCAAAAGTATACGCCAATCCCTCATCAGGGTACTTATTCATTAAAGTAACATTACTGCTGCTGGCTTTTCAAATATGTGCCAATAATGAGTCTGGTAGTCCCTCTCCTCTTTTTAAGTGATTTACACAGCGTCCATGTTTTAAAAAGAGCTTGAGCCCAGAGACAGCATTTCTAGATCATGTTTATTTATAGTATACTCTTTGTATGGTACAATTTTAACCCACATCTGTGAAGCAACAACAAACTGTGGCTTCTAAGAGTGTTATTGAGCCGGTGCAGTGATTACCACTACAGTGCACCCTGATCACTGCCAGATATTGTAATTTCTCGATAAAGTTATGAACTGTACACGGAAAGCCAGTAATTATCCACCATTTTGTGTTGAGGAACATCTGCGATGAGAATATAATTTCCCTTGCTGGAGGAATATCCAAAGTAAACTTCCTTTTATGACACTTCTGTTCAAGCTGCTATGATGGATGGGTGAGACATTTCAATTCTGACATGAAATATGAATCTCTGGAATTGACATTTGCTGACCTGTTCCCATGTGAAGAGTATAAAAGGTCCCCTCTCTTTGAATAGACAGCTGGAGTCTCATAAATATGACATAGAAGCACCTATGACCAATTTTGGGGCTGGCACTGAGCACTGAGATAAAACTAACACTGCTAATCTGCACATTTCATGCATCATTAAAACATCAGTTCAGAGGACTGGAGAGAAGGTCATTTCAAAGTAGCATGCTGTTACAAATCGTGTTTAATAAACCAATAAATGATCTATTTGGAGTCTAGAAAATTCAACATCACTTTACTGTACAGGCTCAAGATTTCAATTAGGAATATTCGTTTGATTTGTGTGTTACTGTACATGCAGGGACTCTGTGTGTATCTCACAGCCTGGCCACCAGTGACTCACTTTGAAAATATCACCATCACTCACATAATTGTTATGATTCATATAAAATCCACCATGAATCAACTCTTATAGACTGTTATGGTTATTGTGGTGGCAGTGATTCACCACAGTAGTATGCTTCAAACCATCTGTGACAGCCACTTAAACTACATGTATAAACATTGGAGTTCAAACATTTTCCCCATAGAAACAGAAATTATAGGATACAGATAAAGATCGCTGGCATGTGTAACGGTGATGAATGAAAACGCTCTGTTTGTGTCAAAGGGCGGGAATGGTTTCCTGGCTGCTTGAGCACTCCGCATTCAACGAATGAGTGACAACGTCATGTGAAACGCATTCAAAACGTTGAAAAACTGATTCCTGAAATATGCTGGAAAATCACTGGATCTGAATCATGCCGAGCACAAATGCATACTTTAAACAAAATGTGGGTTAAGAGTTCAGACATTTTTAAGCATCTGAATGTACATTTTATTATTTGTTTAAATTTGTCGCCAAAACCAAAATAGATTCTCTCTATCGCAGACTGACTGGATAATGACTGGATTTTGAGTAATATCTTAAAAAATGTATTGCGGTTGAATTTCTGTGTTTTTCCCAGGGAGTGGGAAGAGGATTTGGACGATTTTTGACAGCTTCTCTTCAACCTCACCTTTTGAAATTCAAATTCAGTTTTAACTGGAAAAGCTAAATATTGCAGCGGAGGCATGGTGGACCTACAAAAATGCAGCTGGAATGAATGTCTTGGCTGCTACATTTCTTGTCATCCACTCATTTATTCTACAGATCTAACAATGACGTCTGATCTCAATACGTTCAGACACAAATAGCCATTGTGTTCTATTTCCTGGCTGTGCACTGGTGGTTAGAGGGTAGATGTTCATTAAAGAGCTTCAGATAATGAGAGTCAGGAGGCTGAATGGAGGAAACAAGAAGATCAGCAAAGGAACACTACATCACATATTACACTCATGACAAGCAGTAGAAAGAAAGCAGGATTATCATGGGGAATCGACATAATGAGGGTCAAGAAACAGGTCATTTGTCATCTTTCTGTAACACGGATGCAACATGTATGATGCATTCCTGCAAGAAAACGTCATTAAAGGCAAAATGTGTTGACGTGTCAACTATTTGTAAACTGTCACATCTCATCAGGTCTTACAAAGCTTAGAAATAAAACTGCGGCGGGGTACTGTCACTGCAAACCGTCAACAATAGATTTTGTCCCTGAATGGAAGATTTTTTAAATAATGACAGCTAACAGGCAGAAATGTAAGAGCAGCCTGTTTTTTAAACCATCTCTAATCAAGTTAAGTTGTAAAGTTGCATATCTCTAAGTTGTCAATCCCTACAAAGTGACTGAAACTGTATTGATATAGTTAGTATACCGTTCAAAGTCGTGGCATTTGTCTTTCTCATGTTTGAAGATTTATTGGCTGCAAAGTCTTGAGAAGGGACAAAAATGTTAACTAATGTAACAGCAGAATTTTTGTTTACCGTGTCAAATGTGTACCTTACATGGAAACAATAAATTACACATTGAAGTTGGTTTAAAAGCCAGTTAATGTTTTCACTTGACCGATAATGAAAAACGGTTGATGACAGAAGTGTTACCAACTGTAGAACTGGAAGACTTGTTCATTCATTAATATATCATTTTGAGGTCAATATTTTGTGCTAGCATGTTTATATTGTGATTGGGAAGCAAAATAAAGAGCAGTATGTTGCTTAGTGAGCAAGTGATTATGCAAACTAGAAGTCCACCGGGGTGAGAAAGATCCCAGCTCAGACTCAGCATTAAACATAATAGCATACTGATTAAAATCATATAGCAATATACTGAGACTTTAAGCCCTACATTTCTCAGTTGATGTCAAAAAGATTTTTTTTTCACTTATTTTATGCAATATTTCTAAGGCCTTTAAAAAAAAAAAGAAATATTAGCTCTTTTTAGTGCTAAATCCTTAAATCAACTGATCACTGAGCAATTATGACAAAAACTAAAACAGATCCTACTACCATGAATCTAAGAAACACTATTTTTTCATTGAAAATGTGTTTGAGTTTCTAGTTGCAGGATAACAGGTTAATGTCGCTCTTAGTAAAAGACAAAAATAAAGATACAAAAGTCAAAAGGGGAGAAAAGTAAACTACATCCACACCATAACCTCAGTTGTTAATTTTGTTCTGAAACTGTGTGGTTTGAGCAATTTGTCATGATGTACTTTTGATGTTATATTGTATCTTATCTGTCATCACATTTTGTCCTATTGTATCACACCGTACGCAAGGACAAACATAAATTCAGTGCACCCCGACAATAAAAAGTTCTCTCAAATACTGAAGCAAAAACAGGAGGTAGGCATGTTTTTTGTTTTCTGAATTTGAAAGCTTTTTATAGTGAAGTGGAGGAGGAACATCAGGTGGGCCCTCACAAGGACTACAATTAAAAACAGAGAGGAAAATTTGCATGGCATAAGCATATCATTAACTCAGAGGAAAATAGAAACAATGTAGTCTCCAGGGCGACGTCCAAAGATAGGCCTCAAATTTACCCTATGTAGGTGGTTACCGCAGCAAGCTCCACAAGATAATAATCCACAAGGTATTTACCTGGTTCTTAATTTAGCTTGGCAGTGCCACAGTATCAGCACTTCCATTAGAATCTCTTCAAAAACAAAAGAATGAGCTGAAAAACATGTGTGAGGTTAGAAAACACAGATACAAAGATTAGAGAAGAACTAATGGAAGCAAACTTAGGACGTTATTATGTTCTAAGTTTTTAAAAAATATTGTCATGGCTATGGGCAATTAAGTATGTACATAATGAAAGTAAAATCTAATGATAAAAACTGGGATTTATTGGGGTTTTTTACCCTTTAATTCAGTTAGGATTGTCTTTCAACTGTTAAGTAGACTGTTAGCATAAACTGTTATAACTAGCTTGCTAACATAAAAGATAGGGCTGCTATCGACAAGCGATTAATTACTGAAAGGATTAATTGGGTCATCACATTAGTTGCTCAATTATCCTAATGATTGCTCTTATTTAGTCATTTATCCAGGTTTAAATTAAACATCGCTCTTTTAAACTCAAAATCTATCATTGTCATAATTCAGTCCAAACTTAGTCCTATTTTTAAACAGAACTAGTTTTGAGGTGAATTGGATGATTTTGATTCCACCTTGTTTGCACAGAGTACAGTGTCAAGAGTTTGCTCTTCTGGTTAGTTGTTAGGGAGGATAAAGAAAAAGACATGAAGGACAGAGAGGAATGAAGTGTTGAAGTGTTTGGGAGGGTGGGTTGAAATTGACTGAAAATGTGAATAACAGAAAAATCACTCATTCTACTGTGGACGGTTAAACTAAATGTCACTGCTGATATTATAAAAAGACGTGTCCATTGTGTCTTCTCTTCAAATACTTTCATGAGTGTGACTGGTCTACTTGACAAATTGAGGGTAAAATGCTCCGAGACTGTCTAAGTTTTAGGATGATTGCATCGGCTGCTGCTGTTTTACATAAACAACTCTAAGCTGAGAAAGTAAGGGTGCCAGATGGCTTACGACTCAGAAACCCAGCTCTAAAAACGTGTTGTGTCCACTAATAGCATTGAAAAAACACAGCATGATGTAAATGATGAACTACTGATGATTAAATTCATAAGTTACTACTTTTCGGGCAACAATCATCATCACAACCCTAGTCAGGAATTTAGTTTCTTACAAGGGATGAATGCAAATAAAACTTCTGACTCTACTATCGTCTAAATTCTCTTTTTCTTGATGAATTAAAGGTTTTATGAAGAGGTTTCAGGTTGAGGTTGTGGGACTGCTTAAATCTTACAGAATCACATCTTTAAGCCATACTTAAAGCAGAAATGTATCATTCATTTAATGTATTTCTATATAACCCTGTGTAAATATCCCTTGATGAATGATTTGAATCCCGATCCCTTCTACGTCTCAGAAGCCAGTTACAAATATACTTAGGAATTATTTGCAGATTTAGAATAAACCCACAGCTGAAAGGGTGCAATGAACGAGGGTGAAAGAAACCAATGAAAGCAGCTTTAAGAATTTCAGAAAAATCCAATGCAAACAAAACCCACTCATTATGGCAACTAGAGCCCTATGGAACTCCCAGTCCTGTAGCCACTCGCTTCATATAACACCATTTGAGGCTAGACTTGGAGAGACAGGAGAAAGTGAGGAATGCTCACATTATTTATGGTCTACTCCAAAGGTCACAAATTGTCAGTTTGTCAGAGAAAGTCATTGCAAAACCTCACTCAGCTCTCATACTGAAACCCAGGCAACCACCTCGACTTAGAGTGGAGTCCTGGGAAAGTAGTCTGAGAGTGAGGTATTGGCTATCAATCCCCCCAGAAGAACTGTACAGTTTCTGAAAGAGGAGTCATCCCGAGAGGAAGTTCTTCGGAGGAAAAATATAAGTATATATATCATGGTAGCCAAGTGGCTGTCACACTGAGTGAATGTTGTGTTGTATGAATTCTCATGTGTGCAACTGTTTTTTTCCTCCTCTTTCTTCTTCTTTTTTTTTTTTTTAAATTTGACATCCAGTTTGTAATCAGAGCCACTATCTGGGTGACAGATGAAACAGAAAGGCCATTGTTAATGAACTGTTGATTTGAATGACAGCAGAGTTGTGTAATCACACATATGATTGAATGTATCCTGCTACAATATTCAACATATCCTCACTAAATCCTCAGGGACATACTCATTCAACAAACACATTAACTCAATCTCCCTGTTGACCAAGAACAAAGTCTGAACCTAAAAGAAAACAGCTCTTTTGTTCAAATATGTCTCCACACAATAAAGAGATGGTGTTTTCAGTCCTAATTAAAAGACTATTTCAAGTTCTATAAACTGTATCTGTGACTATCTGCATGTTTTGTAAATGACTAAATATGTGGTGTAAAATTATATTCCTGTGTAGAATGAAAAATGCAACTCTTAAGACTGGTGAGAGAACCCTTACTGTGGAGAACAGTTTTATTATGGAGCTAAACCACAGCTGAGATATAATCCAGTTTGAAGAGGTATAAAAAATTGATTTTCACAAGTTAAAAGGAGGAAGTACTTTGATAAATACCAAGGGTTTGCATTCATTTGGATCAGGATGTGTAAATACAGAGATCTGCAAATGGGTAAATTAGCAGATCTATTATATTGTATTTGAACATTACTGCATATCTAAAGTATCTAAATTTGAAAAAGAAAAAAATTATGCTGTCATTAGTAAATTTAGCAAATTAAGACAATCTCAGGGTTTTATCAAGGGAAATATTGAAAATAAATAATGAGAGTAAATGGGAATGATTTTATGAGTGAAAAACAACCCTACTTCTTTTCCTGTGTGTTAATTAATGTTTGAGCGATTGCAGATTAAATTCATTGTCCTTTATATTCTTGTAGATCAATCTACCAGTCAACTAATCAATTTTACTCAGTCTCTAATAAACAAGATTAAACTGCCATTAGCAGTTGCAATTTTGAATGTTTAAAGGATGATATCTAATGTGATCAATTAGCTATTGCAGTATGCATATCAGTCCCTCCCTCATGAATCTAATGTAAATCCTAATGGTTGATCTCTTTCACCATCAAATTGACTTTGTGGGCTGCTGTTGGTCAAGTGCAGTATAATCTGATTGACAAATTGGTGTGAAAGTACGGTCAATTGAACCAGTGCTCTATCTGATATATGATGAGTGGTATCTAATTCTGCATTTTCACAGGGGATTTATCCGAATTTAATAAGATTGAGGCAGTCTCTGCAAACAATATGGGTCATTGTGCAGTCCTGGTCTTAATCATGGAATCAGCTTGTAAGTGAAGTATATGCTGGTTAAAACATGTGATCCATCAGAAAGCAAAGCAACAGGTTCACCATACAAAATTTCATGATTCAAAGACAAGACTGAGTGAACTCACCCAATTAGAACTGCGTGCCAAAAAAGGAAGGAAAAAAAATCAACAAATTCAAGCAAACAAAACACACTGTACTGTCTGCTCAGGAATAACAAGGATGTATGATGATCATCTGAAACAAATACACAAGAACTCTCCATAGTTAATGTTCACAAATCTAAAAGTTTGTTGTCAAATGATTTGCTTTCTGGTAGCAATCTTTAACAAGGTAGCAAAACTCAATATAACACCTGTTGGTGATTGGCATGCCATGCTAGCAAACCGATCATTTACTCTGGCAGAGCCAAGCTTCATTACGGTACATGTCTACCTCCTCCTTCTAAAAATCGGATTTATGTTTTTGAGGCTCATACAGACCTCGAGTGAATCAGCAAACATTTCCATAATTCATTTAAATGGCGCTCCATGTACTGATGAGGGAATTGGTGTTTTTGAAATGTGGCCTATTGCACTTTCCAAATCAAGTTTTAGGCAATCCGTTTTTACTATGACATGAGGAAGTATAAGTTAGAAACTCATTTTCAGCCAAGATGACTAAACAGAGTGAGGAATTCGTTTCTTCAAACTCCAACTTGGAAAAATATCTTCATTAAAAACTATCATTAAACTGTCTGAGAAAGTTTGGACTAAAAATATTGATGAAAACAAAATGATAATTGAGGCGGATTAGAAAAAGGCTGGAATGTTTCTCTGATTATTGCTTGACTAGCACAATACAAGACAGAGAGACTAAAATATGACTAAAATCAGCTACAGTTTTCTGAAAATGACTCAAACTGAATCAAAATTTCATGACAAAATTGACACTAAATAAAGCCAGATATCAGGATGCAGCGCACTTCTCAAATCAAAACAAACAAGCAAGGGAGAGGAACTAATTTCTGCTTTCAGATACACCAGGAAAGAAAAACACAAAAAGGTAAAGGCGAAATAGAAAAGACTGTCTTACATTAAAAAAAAAAGAATAATGCATCTGTTTTTAATAACAGCTATGGGTTTATAAGCAATATTACAGCATACCCTAAATCTTTTAGGGCCTTTTTTAAGTTTATTGAAATGCTACGATGCTTTAAACTGTCTCTGCTGTAAATCACAACAATAAAAAAACAGCTGTTGCGGTAAAGTCTGTATACAACATGGTCACCATCCAAATTCTATGTTTAATGCGATACATATTGTATTGTGAGGCTGTGGGAAATACCCGGCCCAAGTTAGAACAACAGCATGACTCCTGTCAAGCTCCTACTGTGTTTGTGCACACATCCAAACAGGGTTGACAGTTTCATATACAGACGAGGACAGACAATGATCTCCGAGGTAATTTTAGGTTTTCTTGGTGAGTGCATGACCTGACTCAACATCTGACCCGTCTTGTCCTCACCTCTCCTGAACCCTGTGGGAGGAAGAATGAGTGACTCATACATGTGTTATAGTTTTGACTGGTGGTTGGCCTCACTGGGTGGTTTTTTGCTGTTATTCGTGATGGTTAAACATGAACCGAACAAAGCATAAGAAAACACTTTTTTTTTTTTTCTGTCTCAAGAATGAAAGATTCATGTTGACATCACTCACATGGTGTTTATGGAAAAGACATAAGCTGTGCTCCTACCCTGTCAGAGGAGCTGTGTTGTCAAAAAACTGAAATAAAGAAACTCAACCAAACCCATGAACAGGTCACATAAATAGAAAAAAGTGTTGCTGTGCAGTCACACGCAATCCAGCTCTCTGTGGTCAGCACGGTTAAGCCACACAAAGAAGGGAAGGTGAGGCATTACAATACAAGAGTGGCCACCCTAAGACCAGGTCACTTTCAGATTGTTTTGAAATGAAATTTAACCCCAGGCACCTCTCTAACACCTTAGTTAGGAAGTAGAGCTTGTGTGTTGATGTCTGAAATCTGAGCAATGGGAATATGAACCTATTTCTGCCAAAATAAAAAAAAGCACAGCTTTGCCTCTCAGCTAAACACATTCATCTTGATGAGACAGATTGTTATTATGGCGTAATAATTCAAAAATACAGCCTGTACACACTTCCTATATCAGCTCTTTTTCATACATCATTGACGGTACCACAGACTCACTTTTAAGAGAGACAGATGCTAAACTTCAAACACAGTATTTCTATGTTCTCTCGCTGCTTTCTTTAAACAGGAAAAGAGTGAACATGCTGCATATTCACAACCATCTATCAGAGAGACTATTAGCATTCATCAGAAAAATCTTGACTAATCACAGATTTTGATATCAAGAGGCAGTCAGGCTCTCAACCACGCTCAAACACTGTGTGCAGATTTTATCTATGAACTAATCAGGTGGGTTCAGATTTCTATAACTCTATCATCAATATTACACTGACAGTGTGCTGTTGGATTGTCACAAAGTGTATGCTATCAAGACTGCTTGAATATTATACATCACTGATAACATTCTACCATGATAGGGAAACTCAGATACAGTATTCAAGGGTAATGCAAAAAGTTACCTTTAGATTCTGTATATCCATTTGCAGGGAAACCATGCTATATATCAACTAGTTAGCCCCAATCAAAAGCAGCTTTAAAAAGTATCTCTACTGCAGAATATCATGTTACTTCATGCCCAGGGGAAAAAAAAGTACTGCCCTACAGACTGAGATCAGGATGTTTTGGGACGGAAAACATTTTACAGGATTTTTATGAAGATAAGACGTGGGTCAGGGGTTAAATGCAACAAATAATTCCCTAAACTGCAGAGTCAAGGAGGACATTTGTCTGGAGGAAAGTCTGAAAGAACTGGGGCTGGTGAGGTCTGTGTATGTGGGTGGCAGTGGTGGTAAAGCCACAACAAGTGAGGAGGTAAAAAAAGAAAAGCAGAACAACACAGTCAAGGCTGTTTGACATAGATAAATTCTGCTTATTCAGAGTAACCGGGGGGTGCAGAGCAAAAATAATAGGGCCATTTGCAGGATGGAAGGTTGCCAGATCTCACTCTTTTGTTGAGGGGATGCAAAGCCAAAAAATGCATTTGGGAAAGCTGATAAATATACACCAATACGGAATTTACTCCCTGTTTTATTCCTGTTGTTTTAACTCGGGCTGCAGTGTTGACACACGGCATCCCACCAGGTTTTTTCACAGCGCGTTTAAAGAACAGTGCTGTCCCAAAGCAATCAATAAATCCATACATCCTTCTCTGTTCAGCCTCCATTTATGATTGATTTCCCTGGTGATGCTATTGATTCACGTGCACCCCTAGAACTACGCCTTTTGCTACCTGCACGTGAAGCAAATCATGCGTAGATCATTGTTAAGTCAAGCTGGTCCTTCATAGGTCACTGACAGGGATATATATGAAATAATATCCTTGCAAAGGACCCTCATAAAAATCCAGACAGACGAAGATGAGCCACTGTTAACCAGGTTGAGAGACATCTAGGAGACCACACTGCAAGGCATTTCTAAGACTCACTGGTGGTAGGAGAGCTGATTGGAGGGACATAATCTGGTTTGAGCTTTTGGGCTTTTGGTTGACAGAGCAGAGATCCATTGTGACGGCTTACCCTGGCAGGTCTAAATGGATGATGCCTTAGTGTCACCGGCTCAGTTACGGCGTGTAATCTAACAAAGCAGGGCTAAACATTTATTTCTTTTAGGTTGTTGGTGCTTAAGGAGCTCATGGCTGACTACACTAAGAAAGCAGTTTGGGCACAACAAGTCCAAAAGAATAAAGACTAGAAAGTTGCTCGTACCAAACTTTGATCATCATGGACCAACATTTTGGTTTGCAGTAGACAGTTCAATACTGATCACCTACACAGACACAAATGAGACCCTATCTTGCGACGCAATACATCAACTTAACCCTAAGATTAAGGAAAAAGTGAATAAAACATCTAATCAATTTTAATACCCTACATATGATCAGACCAATAGAGTTTTAAGGTCCAAATGTTTAATCACTCTGTCTTTGTAAACGGAGTCGTTGGTTATTTGACTGTCAGAAAACCACAGCTTTATTTATACATCACAGATGGTTGGGGGAATATGAAATAAGCCATGTCTCGCAGTGTTTTCTATGCAATATGGTCACACAGCTGTGGATTCTGGTTCCATTGTTGGGTAAATCCAAATTTAGCTGTCCAGTTGGCTGCAAACAGCTAGCCTGCAGCATAATTCTTTCACTGGGAAGCCAAAACGCAGAAGAATGTTCGACATAGATTATGCAAGAAGCCTGTTGCATTTTAACAATGAAATTCAGTGTAATGTTGGGTGAGGGACAATGAGATGTAGACCCTTTGGTTTCTCGAGCTGCTTGTGACGTCGACTCCTGCTGGTTGACTGAACTCTACACTGTAATCAGGATACAAAAGAAACTCGTTTTTGTTTTGTCCTTACTGCTCAAATCATTGTCTTTAGTCTCCATTATAAAAATGATATCCCTTTCAGTGTACTCTTTTGAGCTCTTCAACACAGTGTATATCCTTTGTTTTAATGAGACTTAAGGATTGTGAGGATACAGACCAAAGACTTGTTACGTCTATTGTTTAAGGAAGTTATTGATGGATTTGAATGAGTCAAGCATTTCTCTTTATTTCCATGTTGCTTTAAGTACAAAATGTACTAAGGCAAAGAGTCACGTCTGGAAGACTATGAAACACCAAGAAATACAAAAATACAGAGAGTGTACCGAAGACAAAATCAAGACATAAGACTGAGCAGATGAATACTCCCAAATCTAATATGAAGCACAGACTGCAGAGGGGAAGATCTCTCTCCAAGGCTCATTACTCCCCTTATAGCATGCCAAGTGCTGACCCAGCAAAATCCCAGCCCCCTATCCTCCTCTTGCCCTTCAACCCCCCCCTCATCCAGCAGGTAAGGGGAGTCACATGCTTGTAGGCACACCCGCCGTCGGCCCATTTGGTCTGTGACACCCATAAAGCGATGCAGGATGGTAGTGCTCCAAGAGCTTTTGAAGTAGCCAATGGCTACTTTAATGGATGGATACACTATTTAGCTTAATTCATGCTCTGTTAAAGCCTTACAGGGAGGATTTGACCTCTCTCAGGTTAAATAATGGTCCCAGCGTAGATGGGTTGGTCGGGGGGCAAGGAGGAGATAAATGCAGTGTGACATTCAGCTCACTCCAGCGTCCCCTGATGTGTGATTTGAGAGCAGTCTATTAGGCACTCGCTTTGCTTAAACATGGAAAGAGTTATTAGACGGGGCAGCAATGACTGGGGGCTGCACATAAGGCAGCAGTTGAGGAGAGAAACGGGTGTGGAGAGAGCGCGACAGCAATTCATCAAAGCAAAAACGGAAAAAGATTGTGAGAATTCACTCTAAGAGTTCATGTGACAAATGTGAAGGCCTAGCTGGCATCCCGTCCTTGGGTGTAAAGGGACGATTGGCTCTGATTGCCATGATCTTCAGCATATTATTGATGCCTCTACAGTCTGGTGCTTCCCTCACCTTCCTCTCGTGTGCTGTTCAAACTGGATTACAAAATGATAATGAACAAATAATAAAAATGTGCAATTGCAGGTCAATATCAGCCTGATCTCTTGAAAATGTAGTCTGCAAATACAGGGCCTGAACTTGGAAGTTTCTTCGTGTACTTAAAGACACTTACATCTGGAAGTATTTAAGCTTTTTTCTGTGGTGTTGCACAGGGGTCAGTCCTCGGTCCCTGTGCATAATTACTTGGGGTACAATGCATCACAAATCTAATGATGATGATATCACACATGTGGTCATTGGCCTTTAAAGTAAAAAAGCCATTCATATTATACAACATATGAGGAGATTAAAAATCAACTATGTCCATGAGTGAGAGCAAACAAGCAAAATATGAACATATTACATTTTAACTGATTCAAAAATGGAACAAACTGCAAAAAATATGACTGAAATCCAAATAATGCAAAGGAAATTTTAGACTGACTGACCTTTCTGCTTTCCCAAACTCAGTTTCAACTATCATCGCACACACATCTCAAATGTGCTCAAAATGTAAAATTATCTGTACCCTTTTGCTTGACAAGAATTTGCAATATACTTTAATCCAAAGTGTTTTGTACAGTCTTGTCTGAAGAAGACTCTGGAGTATACAACCAATCAAACACGTTACTTCACACATGTAAAAAGGAACAAAAAAGACATGTTTATAATGCGCCGCTCTGTCTTTTTACAAACCACACAAACTCTCTGCAAACTTTAGATGTAAGTCTTTTTCTTTGTCTACAGCCTTTGGCTAATGGCAGAAATAAATAAGACTTTGTGTGTCTTCATTGGAGCCTCACGCTTAATATTCAGAAGGCTGCAGCAAAAATGGAAATGAAATCTCAAAAAAGCAGCAAAAACAGTGTAACACATCGACTGTAATCCAGCTCTGACTAATCATTTGTTTTGCAGGAAAAGTGATTAAAATTGAAAGTCCTATTTTTGTCTCTATCTCCATGAACTTAACTCACGACAACGTGTGAAAGAAGGTGTAAAGCTGACAGCAACTCGCTGAAAGATTTTCTGACTTCTCTGACACTGAATTTTAATTTTTTAAGATTTGCCAAATTAAGTCTTGAATATGAAACTCTCTTACCTCTTTGAGACACAGCTGCGATAAATCGGGCTGCTGAATGAGAGTCATTCATGATGCAAAAAACACACCTAAAAAAAAAAACAGAATAAAGAGAATTTGGTTTAGTTAGTTAGTCAGTTAATAAGAGGGCGCCAAGACACAGAAAACACTTTAACTTGAAGGTTTACAATATAAAGTCACAAAATGTAAATCTGCATCATTATTACATCTTGAGATGAAACTGTCATTAGCCATTTTGAAAAGATAAATATCAAACATGTTTTTAAAACTTTCTTGGTTTCACTTCAAAATAAAGTTTGTGCGGTACGTGACGCCATTTAGAAACTCTCAGTGTTGTATGGGGTTTTAAAATTCATAGCTGGTCTAATATAAGCCAACAATAAAAGAAAAACTGTTGCACTCAATATTAATGATGACAGGAAAAATCAGTGTCATCACTCCTTTGTTGGATAAAAAAAAAATGTCCTTCATCCTGAAAGGCCTTTGCTAATTTATTGGAATTACTTCATAAAGCTCATGGTCATTAACAGCAAATAATTACTCACACTTTATGTAAAAAACTGTGAAGAGCACAGCCTGTTAAAAAGTGAAAGAGGAGTGATGGTCACTGACCCATGAGTGCAAAAGTATACGCCGCTCTGTCCTCTTTCATCTCTATGAATTCATCTTCAGCCTCGGGGGGTCAGGAGGAATCTGTTACTTTTAGATGCAGGTTAGTGAGGATATATGTGTGAGGGTCAGGCGCAGTTTGGCCACGCTGTCTCTCTCTATCTTTCTCTCCGTGCACACCCTAACATCCGCCCCCATCTGCATATTCCCCGAGTGACAAAACTAGTTAGCTGAGTAATAAATCAAACCTCGGCTGCCCAATTTAGTTACCTAATGTAATTAATAAGTGCTAAAAGCATTTAACTGGTCATAATTTGCGGATGCCACTTTGAAGGGACTATTTAAGGCAAACTTTGTGTGCGTGCGGGGGAAAATATTATGCCGGCACTGATATCTTCGTGAGGAGTTGTATGCAATATCATGCAACGCAAGCCACAACCCAAATACTTATCTATATAATTAACAGATTACAGTGAAAGCTGAAAAAAGGGGATAGCTACATCAAGATCCATCAACATTTTATAATCAGCGTTGGGGAATTAGAGATAGATCTGATAAAGAGTTGGTAATCCAATATAGTTCAAGGGCAAAAAGCAAAAAGGCATTTCGTGTGGTACATCCACATCATGAGGTTTTTTTTACAATATGCCAAGTAAAAGCAGCACATGATTCCTGATGATGGTTTCTCAGATTATTATCACCTAGATATTGCATATAGACAGAAGAAATATCTTGAAATTTACGTGTCCTTGCTTAGATTTTCTTGATCCTGGCGTTTTCATTAATTGCTTCACTCTTAAGTGCCTTACATTAATCATTATCGACACCTCCTAACACCGCATTACAGCCTATCAAAAAGATTGACTGTCTAAGAAAGGATCTATCAATTAAATCTCTATTACTTGGGACCCAATCCTTGCAGTCACTTCCAGACTTGCTTAATCCGCTTCTCTGCGTCTCCACTTTCTCTCTGCAGCAAACCTCTGCCAGCAGAGTGCAGACAGCAGTGAGCAGAGGGAAGGCAAGAGGGAGGAAGTGGAGAGGGGTGATTGCCGAGGAGCAGAGCTTGTCATGAGTGGATTTATGGCTGGGGAGACAGCGGCGGGAGGCGGGCGAATTGATGGGTGACACATAATCAGCCTCCTTATCGCAGCCCCGCAAAACTGGATTGCATCCAGAGGCTTGTGATCCGTCCGGATTTGGCTAATGTCTCCCACTTCTCTCCTGAGCCCCGACAGCTCTCCGTTATCAGGGCCTGGCCTGGGCTTCCTTTCCTTCCCTCAGACTGCTATCCCTCCACCCCTCCATCCGCCGCCTCCTCCATGCTGTCTGCATCTTGACAGTGTGTCAGGTGAAAAAGCAACTAAGGGTTTGTTGACCACTTCTGTCCATCCACCCCACTTCCTTCCTCTAAGGTACTATTTTAGCCTCTCTCAGACTTCCTCAACCTCATTCAGCGAGGCTTCCTAAAAGGCCACACTCAAGTTTCCACAAAATACAACTCCAGATTTCTCTCTCAAATCACTTACAAATGTTTTCAGGATTATTGGCAGATACAGGACCAAAAACTGTAATGTGTCACTGCTGTTGAAAACAACCAAATGAGTCTTTAAACTGCTCTTGTTTGCATTTCAAACCCGACATGCCAGTTTTCGTCAGCGATGTTTATTGTTTCGTGACTGCAGATACAAAAGCAATAGCTGAAAGACGGAAGGAGTGAATCACAGCTTCCAGAGTGGTTGGGTTCAAAGTTTCGCAGAGTGGTTTGGGGCTGAAATGGAGCTTTTCTATGACATAATGATCTGGTTCACTCACACGAGCTCTGCACTGCTCCCCCAATTCTCTCACGATAGGGATGGTAAAACACTTAGTCTCTGTAATATGTCATTGGATGGAGTTGCCACAGTGGCAGGAATAACAACAGAACATTTATGCATGCAGCAGCTATAATTGTTGCTGTTAATATAATTTAACTGTTATTATTGTTGCTTGGTATTGTCTGACTGATGTTACCAACACATGATGAACTGAAACTATGCCTACCAACAAAGCTCTCAGCTGTCTAAGCAGTACAAGAAACATTCACAAGCACTAAGCTCCAAACTGTACGAGTAAACTGCTTTACCCGTTTACCTATACCAGATTATTTCCCACTCCACTGATCAATTGAATATTGCTTTTCCAGCAGAAACTTGCAATCGAACTGAGCTGCACACATCTAATCACCGATTGTGTACCATTAGCCTCACCACAACTGCATTGTTCAACCATTTCCTTACAAACATCAGGGGTGCATTCAGAAGAGTAGTTAGAGGGGGCACGGGCCCAGTCTTGAAATCTGATTGACTAGCCCAAAATCCTAAACTATGATTCATATTTTTTCTTATCAGAGGTAGGATTTTCAATTGGATTTAAGCATTTGGACTGCGTTACTACAGGCTGTTTAAAGCTTTCTTTGTTATCCATTTCCAAGATATGTGCATGCAAACTCCTGCTTTTGATTTCGAGGTACTTTAAATTGGGACTTTGGGAAAACACTTTCCTTTGAGTCCTTCCAGAATTAATTTGGAAGATGTTTAATTCCCTAAACAATTAGGATGAAAGCTTAGTTGCTGGTGTAAGAATGATGTATTTAGTTAAGAATTAAGCAAAGACAACATATCAAACACTGAAACAGATTTTTTTTTTTTTTTAATGTTGATTTGAATTTGATCCAAGCAGTGGCGACTGGTGAGAAAAATAATAGGTGGGGTGAGGTTTTGGAAACCAGAACCCTGTAGGGGGGGGGGTCTGGGGGTATCCTCCCCCAGGAGATTTTTTTTTTTTCTCAAAAGGTAAATGAAGCATTCTGGTGCTTTCTAATAAAATAATTAAGGAAACATACGATGTTGACCTACACAGACAACTGGGGTGGGGATACTGTATTTCAACTTATTAATAGGGCATTATAGCTGACACACAGCCTACCTACATTCAATGTTATCCTATGATAAAGAAACTGACAGTAGCATACTCTTACTCGTGTACATCCACCTGCATCTCAACAGGTTAGGCTACAGCAAAAGGAGCACACAAAGACAACTGCAGAAAAATCGTGAAGAGCAGACCCACATTTATAACAAACCAGGCTGCATATCAAAGTGACATTTGCTTTAAATACAGAACAGTTTTATTACATTTGATATTTCAGCTGAACTGAATTGGAACTGAGAACTGGAACAAATACAGGGTTCCCACTCTTTCATAGAAATCATTTTCCAGGACTTTTCAAGGACGTTTTCATCCTGCCTTAAAATGTATTGATTTCTAACACTGTGGCATGAACATTGTCTGTTAGCTTTCATTTTAGTCTGGCTTTTATGTCTCACTATAATAAATTTATGGTTTATATTAGGTTTTAATCTTTATATACTCTACTTTTCTACTAACAGATTTTGCTGATTGACTGTTTCAGTTGCCGAAATTTTATTTTGCCAGCTTTATCATTTCTTTTTGTCACCATTAATTTACACGGGAAACAAAAAAGGGCCTTACACTTTCGACTTCCAGTTAGCCATGCTTTACGCCGGACCGAACTCTTTCAGCTTTAGTTTGTCCTGTAGAGTTCTCCTCTCAAACAGGACCTACTTGATGGACAGCATCAATAGGAAGAGGTAAAAATAAATGTTGATATTCTGTTATGTTACTTTGTAAGATCTGTATGAAACTACACTACCATTAGATGTTCCTTATGATGACTAACTAATGTGTGATCAAATATGATTTTCACATTAATATCAGATTTTCCCTATCCAAGCTGCAGAATAACAGAACACCATCATTTCAGTCCACAGCTTTGTTAAATACATTGCAAAAATCTGTACCTGAACTCATTGTTTCCTGTACCCCAGTTAGCACAACTCAATAGAACTTCACATAAGTGGCTAAATTGTAAAATGGTCAATATGCGAGTGCATTTTGCTGACACTGCCAATCTCCGTCCTAACTCTGGTACAAAGTGAGGAAATTAGCGCATGAAATGACACAGCTCTGTGGCACTTTTTGTGCTTTCAATGTTGGCAAGCGGAATGCAGAGACAGTAATGAGCTTAATTGCTTTTCTTCAGAGCTAACATGAGGCTGTGTTGCCAGGCTGCAGAATTAAGAAAAAAAAAAAACATTTACAGCTTTGTCTGAGTGAAATTCCTCTCATAAAAGACAACATACCAAGATCAGGCGAGTTAATGCGCCAAAATTCTTACTTAAATAACAGAGGAGTCAGTATCTGCTATGCTTCATTACAGGACTAATGCTGAAAACATATCAATCTTCACTTGGAGACAGAATGGAGCCAGTACAATAATACTTTAAGAAGACCGCACACAAACTCGTCTTAACCTGTTTGGTGTTGAATAATTCAATCAACAATCCACAACATTAAGTGATGGAAAACTGCTGCTGTTTACTTGACTATATCCCACATTTATCACCCGCTTTGCCTGATTTACAGTTGAGGCTTCAGTATGTCATGCACCATTTATGCTGTATGCAGTGATATAATACAAAAAAATTTAAGCCAAACCTTGAACTTTCACATTTGATTCACCTTTACTGAACTTTCAACCAACCAGATGGCAAATTCTAAAAGTATTTTTCCTATTCAAAGTATCCATGCATGCTTTATTGATCACTCTTTATCTCTACTTACGGACAGTGTTGCCCATCAATTGCTCAATATTGCACAGTTAAGACCATCACAGATAGTGTCAAAACAATGTGAAAAAACTTAAATATTACAATAAGCCCACTAGGAAGTAAAAATATACATATATTTCCACATAAATTCAGTTAAATCACAACCCACTCTGCAATCATTCAGTGTTATCAGTCTGGAAGATGGGTGATTGGGTAAAAACTGTGTTGACATTGCATTGCTGAAGGGTCAAAAGTGTTGTTCTTTCTCTGGAGGGCATCTGCAGTCGAACCAAGCCAGTCTGATGAATGCCCTCTTCCTGAATTGATTGTGCAGCGTGATGATTTGTGAATCGTAGCAGGTTTAGCAGTTTTTTGTTGTTGTTGTTGTTGTTGTTGTTTTTTTCCTCAAAAAGGTTTGAGCAGCATGAAAAGACTCAAACTAAAAAATGACAAGTGCTGCACCTGCTGTTTGCTTTCTAAAGTTTTGATTATAATCTGGCAAAATAAAAAATGCCAAAGCACCAAAACAACACAAACGTACCAAATTTTAAGAAATCTATTCAGCATATGTTTGGAAAAATAACTGGAAAAATACCCCGGAGATAACACTCATGGTCAGGTTACATGAATTGACCAAAGTCATAAGAACAGATACGGCTGCCTTAGCGTAACTACCGTGCCAGTGGCGAGGAGGACTGCAAAGACCACCAGGAGAAAAAATGATGATGTTAATCCTTCTTTTGAGCCAATGCTAATATCTTACAAATGCAGAATAATGATCAAGATAATAGGTTTGGTACATCAAACCCCTCTTGATGTACCTATAGCTTTAAGAGAGAGTGCAGCAGCGCCGGCAATTAGGAAGAGAGATATGTGAAGGGATGTTTGCTGCCACTCTCGGACTATTGGATTCTCTTTAATGACGCTGAAAAGTGGCCATTTACAAAAGGTGGCTACATGACTGTGCCTGCTATCTCTCAGTCAGTCATTCTCCACATCCTCCTCCTCCTCCTCCTCCTCCTCCTGTAGGGCTGCAATTTTCCCAAGATGCAACAGCCAGATGACAAATGGTTGCTTAAAAAGCAGTTTAAGAGGATTACTGTCTCTCTGTGCTGCATGTGTGTGTTAGCGTGTGTGTGTGTGTGAATATGTGAGAGCTTGAGTGAGAGAAAAGAGAGGCCAAGGAACATCAGCCCACCCGTACTGATTTATTGTTTGAGGCACTACACGAGGAAAACATTTACTTTGGTGAGTTAGCTTAAGGAAGAGGGAACATGATGATTTACTTCATCACCTAGAAGTGATGAAGCCCTCTGGAGGCTCGCTACAAATTTTCATGGCTGTAAAAAGACCGAAGCATCCATCCACGCTCAGTACATTTCTGTCATTGTAAATACACTGTTTCTCACTGCTTTGAGAAGGTTTTCAAATATTCAACTCCTCAGAGCTCGCACTCAAGAGGAGGGTGTTTGATACTGAAAGATAAAGTTTGTGTCGAGCATGACGCTGTGCCTCCAAAAATCTATGACTATGACCTTTTATGTGCTTCTTGAAAGGAGCATTAAGATGGCAAGCTCATCATTGGGAGCTTTGCTGTAATCCTCTTTGATGTTATTTCTCTTTAAACCAGTCCTCACTGTTTGCCTGGGGCAGACAAATGATTGAATTCTGTTGTTTTGGACTTGGGAGATGGGCTTTCATTTTCTTGAATGAGTGCCCCATGACAGCCATTACTTATCACACCGCACCATCCCATATTGATCACTTGCAGTGGTCAGGCTATCTGATTCCACCTTGTCTCAGCCATCAGCTATGAAAAGATTCACCACCTCCTGCAGATCAACACAACAACAACAAAAAAACCTGGCCAAAGAGCACACATCATGTGTGAAGGGATTTCATGTCAAAACACAGCACTCACAATCGACAACAATGACGGATATATTCGACCACTTGGAAGTTAAACACCGCAACCAAATCAAGAAACTGAAACCTAACTCTTCCCTTTGTACCCCACACAAAGTTAATATAATTATGAATGTTTGATGTGGATCGTGGGAAAGGCTCGCATGTATGATACATAACAGGTCTGTCCATTCATTAGAGAGAAGTGGAGTTGTTCGTGTGGGTTGCTTGGCGAGAGCATGGCCTGAGGTTTGGAAGCTAACATGGTGTGTGTGGTCAGCAGGTCAGATATATCTGGCAGCTCATTGTTCAACTGTTCCACTGCCTGCAGACTCAAAGTGCTTTATTTCAACAAGAACAATACTTCAAGAAGTCAGCTTTTCATGTAGAGAAAGTTACCGACATGATTTCACGTTAAACAAAAACTTTTTTTAACCTTTCTCTACCTCCGAGTCTTAACTATGACTTTCATGCAACCTTTAAAAGAATACTTTGGAGAGAATATACAACTAATAGAAAGTGCAAAACTCTTACAAGTGAAATATGTGTATACCTTCACTATAGAGGAGGGATAAAATACAAAGAAGTTACTGAAAGGCACGACCAAACTGGGTTAGCCATAGAAACGACTAAACATGTGTATGAGCCTCAAACTGCTTATCTAATAATGCGCTATCTTACCTCTACTGCGAATATCCTCACTGTCAGTTTCTCCCTAAACAAAACAAAGGAGACATGAAAGTATTATTAATACAAACACAACAGAAGAAAATAATGAAAAACATGAGAAAATGTTGGCATTTTTTAAAGTAATCAAATTAGTTGATTGTGATCAATAAAGCAGATGATTTCTTGCTCTAGGAACCGGGAGATATGGCTGCCAGTGGGGCTACAAAGCTGCCAAATCGTTACAAATTTGGCAACTAGAGGCCTGACTGTAAGTGAAAAGAAACTCCTAATGCCCTGAGGAGACATCAAGAGGTGCCAACTTATGCATCAGATCATATTCATGGTGGTGACTTTGCCAGAGAGAAATTTGCTTTGTATATCATCAATAATTTCCCTCCATAATTCAATTTGGGCCAAAGAAAACAAGAGCTAAACAAACTGTTGAATATGTCTTACACAAGAGGAAGGAAATACGGATTGTTGGGGGAAAAAAATTCAACTTTACGAATGCGTAATAAACTAAACTCCTACATTTCAGGACACTTGCTGATATAAAAACCTGTCTGACAATAATAAATTGAGGTGAAAAGAGGAGGGAGCATGGAAAATGTCCTTTGTGACACTACCGCTCACTCTGGTGAACACGCATTGAAGTGCTCCCTCCCTCTCTGATCTATGGACTGTCAGGGTGGATATTTGCTGAAATTCTTTATCCCATTTCTGCCGCACCAATATGAACTGCCTCTGACACCAGCCCCAAAGAAAGGGGGGAAGATAGAGGAACCACACAACATCTCCTTTTTATTGTGTATCAATTCGAGTTTTAAGAGTAAACTTAACAAGAAAGTGTGTGTAAGACATCAGTGGCCCGATTTAAAATCCAGGTTTTGTTGTTTCCACGGCTTTGTATCGGAAAAGATGATTCACACAGTAGATTCAGCCACCAGCTCTGTTGTTGAAACCTTGACATTTTGACTCCAATTTAGGCCTGGGATTATTCACCGGCAGCATCCAGTGAAAGCTGTGTGCCCTCAGGAAAGGACACATGTGGCTAACCTCAGAGCAGCAACATCCCTAGACAACAAGTCTCTCACTTTGTTTGTCTATTTGTTCCACTCAGCAAAAATACAGAGATAATTTTGTGGTTAGCTTCCCCCTCCGGAAACGCGCAGAGACCTCTGCTTTCTTCAAACTAAATCACATCACAGTGCCGCCCCTTGCGGGTCTCCTGACTTTCCTGGATATAAGGGAATAAAACAAAATAAATGCAAAAACGAGCTCTGCCAGAAAAAATAATGCAGCCCCAGAAAATCCCAGAGAAAACAACTGTCAGTTTGGGCTTTGTGCTGATTTGTGGTTTTTGGCAGTCTGACACGGTCATTAAACAGAGGCCACTGCTTACTGCACTACCCAGCCATGGTGGCCAAAGTTAATACTTCCGGATGTTGTATGTTTATTTACAGCGACTCATCAATATTTAGGAACCCAACACTGTTTGTATATCTGCCCAAACCACTTTTGATAACATTTGTTACACAGTTAGCAGAAAGTAAATGATTAAGTCCACGGTGTGTGCACACATGCTTATTTATGAGCAAAAACAAGGACAGACTGACCACCTTGGATAGCTCTCTGAAAAGGATTGTGTAACCGAGTGTGGAACAACATCACCGAGAAGAAGAAGCATCTGTATTCAGAACAATCACTTGAGTAAATACAGATGTAATCTTACATCTGCACAAGGGAAATGCGGCATCCATGTGCATGGTCACTTTTCCATTACTAACACTTTTTTTATTCCCAAGGTCAAACATGTCAGTGAAATCATAACCTCTGGCATGACGTCGCTCAATTTTGTAGCTTAATTAGCTAAGATAAGAAAAAGCTATCCAACCTGTGAACCAATTCACTCTTCCTCACTGTTGTGGGGTTTGTAACTAAATGGAAGAGGTCTCTGAGAATCGACGACAGCTCCACAAACATTAACATTTTCATTCTCCTCTCATCGCTAACAGCCCCAGGGAGACTCAACCATGCGTATTCTATTAACAAAAGGCACGCCCAGTGCTCCCAAGTCTCAGTCTCGATTCATACACATCCACAAATCCCTTGGCAAAAGCTGTTTGTGTTCACTAGAGCCTACAAGAGGGACAGAAAGAAAAAAAGCAAAGAGAGACAAAGACAGAGAAAGGGGAGAAAGATGTAAGAAAAGCTGAAAAACAAACCTACAGGAAAATGGCACTTTTTGCATCAGTACACAGCCCATGGCTCAGCTTCTTTATGTTCTTCAAGGTAAAACCACAGTTTGACTTTAGGGACTAAACCCTCACTCAGCAGACAAAAGATTTGTCAAAATACCACACAAGTCTGAATGTCCACTTTTATAGCTACCTGCCTGCCCGGCGGGTCAATTCAACGAGTGCAGCAGTTTGATCTTATATATGTGACTGGTGTTCACAAATCCAACATAAATAGTTGATGCACCTGTGTCAAACACATGCTAGGATGGATGTATCTGTCATATATCCATCTTGTACCTGATAAATCTGTTAGCTTAAATATCAGACGCAAAGAGATAATGTGTACAAATTGTAAAAAAAAAGCATGTTTTAGCAGAAATACTTAGATTCACGATGTTTAAATTAGTTTAACAAGTTATCTCAAATTCTAGAAACTCACTCAACGATCAAGATAGGCAACTGGATTGAGGGAAACAGTCAGCTAGTTAGTTGCAGTTTCTGCCATCTTGATATGAGCATTTGTAGTCAAGGTCACACACTTTTAGGCTCAAGTCAACACACTGTCCCTCTGTAAAATATCTTTACAGAGACGACATCATCAAGAGACCCTAAAGACGTAAAGACTGCAAGCAAGTGTTTCATCTGACTGTAGGGCACCCAGGCTCGGACTAAAACATTCAGTGCTGCCAAAGACAGAAAAGACTCATGGTTAAATACCTAGTAGTACAAACAGCCTACATTCTGCATTTACTGCTGCTGCTGCTCTCCTCAAACTGTTGAATCTGATGCATAGCGTCCACAGGACTGACTAGTTAAACTGCACACCTTTGTAGGTTTTCTGCACTCCAAAAATGCCGACAGCAGGGATCATCTTCTTCTCTGATAGAAATTGAATGCATAGTTAATTTCACAGTGGGTACGAGTGAAGCCAAGTGGAATTGCTGATGGTGGAAGTTGTTGGCCCAGCAGGTGAGCAACACATCACTGACATTTGCCTCTATTCATTTGCGCGGGGTCTCAAGCCTGCTGTGAGCCCGGCCAGTCTGAATAGTAAAATGGTCACCCCGGTGAAGAACCAATCACACTTAAGAGCTGCCTTCTCCCAGGCTGGAATGAAATGTGCATGGTCGTGGAGAGAGCAAATTTGGGAATGGCTTGGGGTATCTTTTGGGCCAATAACCATGAGGCTTTTTGCTGCCACTTTAATTGTGTTGCTTTTTCATTGGATATTTCTTTTTTATTACAATCCCAATTTCAAAAAGTGGAAGACAGAAAATGTGGTCAGGTTTTGTTGGGTTTTACACTATTTAAACCCAATCTTTAATTAGAAATAAAGCTAGGAAAGATGTTACTATAATAAAAAAATGCATTAATTTTAAAACTGATGAGAGCAACAACATTTAAAACCAACTGGGAGGGGCACAACAGAACACTGTAAAAGTTATTAAATGACAAAATAAACCTAGAGGACCATCCTGAGGTTCACCACTTTCACTGTTCATCAATATTTTAGCTTTTCCTTTTTTTCAATAGTTTATTTTTAACATTTGTCAGGTTTTCTTTGCAGTATTTTCCATTAAATAAGATTGTAATAATAAAACAAAAACATCAAATTTCATACGTTTCAACATTTCACAAAGTCTCCAAAGTTGTTTTTATGTATTTTTTTGTTTATTTTTTAATCGTATTTGGATGCCAGAACAAACTTTCAAACAATAAAACTGACAGAAATGAGCCATAAAATGCAGTAAACTGTTTACAATCTTTGATTTTATGTCCAATTTTTTTTACAGTGTAAATTTCAGTCCGAGAATGGGACCAACAAGTTTTCTCTTGCCATTTCTGAAACCAACTTTCTTGGACTGTGTGTACTGCACTGGGCTCTGATAGTGAAAGGTGTTTATCATGTATTGGTATCCACAGTGGAGCCACTGCAGGGTGCAGATAGCAAGCTGCTGTTTTCAGATCAGTTCTGTTCCAGCAGTCATAATGGTTGTTGCTATGATTAAAGATGAAGAGACAGTTCTTGGACCTTCTTTGCTCCCTCAGGGGCAAGTCAGGACAGAAGCAATTCATCGCTCAAGTGTAACACACACAAGCACACAGATGCAACTGGGTTTTTTGCATTTTTCAGAAAGTTATGCCTAATTATGATCTTCCCTTTGTCCCCAGACCTGTAAATACCAAATGTTTTTAGGACTTTAACATGACGTTTTCAAAGTTTTTAGTTATGTTGCTGATTCTAGAGAAGCTGAAAATAGTGCCACTGCCAGCACTCGACCACCACAAAGAGGTGAACTAAAACGGTGCAATCTCTCATCAAATAGATTCAAAAGTTTATGTCACACCTACACTATGACAGCAGAGTTTACTTGTGTTTAGACCACCGTCCTTTTTCTTTCTACCACACCTCAGTGGGGTGAGAACTTCCTTTCCACAGCTTCTTAACACTGCCGAGGCGAGGGAAAACTTTCACCAAAAGCAAAGTAGCAAGAGGGAGCTACATCCTTGTGTTACTGCAACAGTAGTTGTTGCAAGAGACATGGAAAGACAACACTGCCCCCTAGGTGTAGATAATGTAACAATGTCCAAAAAGCAGAGTGGGGGTAAAACAGAGATGCCACAACAGCAGGTCTGTGTTTTCTTATACTGACACAAGCTTTTAATGAGCTGGATCCGTTTGCTGGGTCGTGTGAAGTACTTCAGCAGTCTTGATCTATGTGGTTGTAGTCTTCACCATCATTTTTAAAACAGCAAAAGATGAATGTCATTTTACAGCCAGCTCAGTTTTAAAAGATGAGACAAAATAACTT